CATCGCTAGACATTGTCACAATTACATTCTTCGTTTCCTTTGACAGCTCGGCTGTAGATAGGTGATAGATTTGTTTGCAAAAACAACGTTGATCTAGTGAGTAATTTATGTGTGAAACCGTTAAAGGCACCGTCCACCCAAAGTGAGGGTTCACGAGATTCAATGGCATGCTAATGTGGGCCCCCACACTAGGCCAACCCCCAAGTTTCCTCGCAAAAGATTGTTTCCGGAGCGAGAAATCCGCTCTGGAAGTTACGTGATACGTGATCCAGAGGTGGTCACTCCGCCCATTTTGCAGCTTTGGGGGCTGCGGCGCTGATATACGCCGGGCGATAACCGCGCCGCAGCCCTGCAAACTGCACTTCCACCCGTGCCGCTTTCTCCAAAATAGGGATTTTTGGGATTCTCGACTTCATATTCGAAATCAGGGCCTTCAGAAGGCCCGGAAGCGACAAAAACATGGAAGTCGAGAATTTGGGTGGACAGTTCCTTTAATAACGGTTATAGTCACGAATGAACAGTAGAAGCCAGTGCTTAGTCTCAATTTTTCATTAGACTTTTTACAAAGTGGTGAGAGCCCAATTACTGTGATATTGGGAGTAACGTTCAAATTCTAACGATCTTTTGTGTCCCCTTCTAGAGCTTCATAAACAGCATGATCACCCTTGCATCTTTCAAATATCTTATTCTACCTGCATATAAATACTTGTCTGTGAACAGTCTCAAACTTCTTTGCATATTTCTTTGCTTTGTCACCGTTATTCCAATCATATTGCCTGGATGCAGAGCATCACTTTGTCTATGTGAAACTACTCAAGCTCTAGCTGTGAAGTGGCAAGACTTATTATGACGTTGCTTTTACCCTGACCACCATAGTTTTCGGTGGCTATATGCGTCTGGCTTCTCCTATTACAAAGCAACCATGCTTTTCAGATGGCTCATTTACAGTTGATATTTGATCCGTATCCGACAGGGAGCTAAGTAGATGGCTTTTCAATGTCCCTTCCGCATGTGCTTAGCGACTTGACTTCCATCATGTATTCGCAATCTTTAATACATTGTGCATTCTTGTAAGGCCACTAGGTTCCTTGTGCTTTCAACCCTTGTTTTCTTTAAGGTCACCGTCCCTGTAATTTCATTGGCTTTAGAAACGAAACAGAGTTTGGAAAATTCTCTGCCAAACAATAAAACTTTTTTTCATTATTCTACTGCATTTGATCGGACAGAATTTTTTTACCATTTATTGCAGGAGTTTTCCTTTTGCACTGCTTTTCTGCCCTGTAAGTTAAAGCTTTCATAACTAATATCATTGCATTTGATCGAACAAAAATTTTTCCTTTTTCGTCTATTACACTCCTTTTCTCCTGCTTTCTGTACTCTACATAACCAAAGCTTTGCTCTAGCATTTCTTGAATCATCACAGCTGTTCGTTACTGTTCTTGAGCAGCCAGTTACAATCTCACAATCACTCTCAAGAGGAAGGATTGCATTAACAGTAGAATTCTAATGAAAACTCGAGGTGTGTAATCCATATTTATCACGAAATAATACATCATTTGACTCTAGCTTCAAGTGTTTTGATCAAAAATCCGCAGTAAGCATTTGATTTTAAAGCATACAAAATCGGGCTCGTTTTCGATCCACATTGCAGAACCACTTTTTTCAACTCCAGGTACCGAAATCAGAAAGAAATTTGAGACCTTCGTGTCAAATATCCACTTGCTAAACTTGTCACAATTTCTCTGAGTTTCACTGGTGTGACCTCAATAGCACACATCTTTGACATTTGTTTGAGAATTACTCGTCTAAGTTTTGTGCGACAGCATAAACTCTGCCTGACTTGCGATGTGTTCAGGAACATTTTAAATGCTTCTTGAGGTCTTTGAACTTCATCAACATACTTTTTGCGCCCGTCTTCACCATGTTCAAATTTTTCCCGGTGTTTGTAAGTTTTCAATCGCTTTCTGCAATCTCTACTAGCTGATATAGAAAATATTCTTGTTTCCTTTCAACTATCGTTAAAGGCGCATGTCCTAGTTGCCGATGTCGCGTCCTTCGGCGGTTTTTGAATTATAGTGTTTGTTTCATCTGCTCATTAGCGGCATGCACATAATCAAAAAACTTTTGAGAGATATTGCCGAGTTGAGAGAGCAACAAAAAGGTGTTGGATAAACGAAGCCTAGAAGGCTGCTTTAACCAAGATTCAGTGCCTCATGCAGCTCTGATTTCATGCGCAAACAAAATATCTAGTCTGAGTATTCATTCGGATTGCAGATCACAAAAAACAAGTAATCATCTACAGCCACGGCGGAAATTGCACTATGTAGGTCTATTCATTTACGCTGTATTATGCTGTTGTGCTACGAAAATTTTCCGAATATCTGTAGCTACCTTTGCGAATGAGTTTGCGTGCGAACAGACTGTTCATATTTCGAGGCATAGTGTATCTGTATCTGTAAAGAGAGCGCATTTGCGGAAGACAACTGGAGAAGCAAGTTCCATTCAAGTCAACACTCGCTTTATCTACGAAATAATGAACCGCGAGAGCATTAGACAAACAAACGTCTGCGGTAACCTTCGCCACCCTAGGTCAGCTGAGTCAAGCCTAAGTTGACGTTATAGCGCCACAGCCTAGCATCGACCATCAAGCTATTGACATGGATGCAGGTCGCTAGGTGTACGTTGTCAAAAAAAATTTTATTTTCTTGTGCAGAGTCAGTCGAATGGTTGAAACAGCTGCCATCTAGCTGCTGTTTCGTGGTTTAGAACTGGCTGGTGAACTTAATTTTCTACACTGTTGTGCAATTTTTGATAGTGGCCGCTATCGGAAAATAAATAATAACTTCTCCTAGAGATTCGCCTAATAAACAGATGCTTAGCAAAAGAAACACACATAATTCAATAATATTCCGCCGAAATAGTGGTTGGCTGAAAACTTATAAGAGAAAAAGTACTTTCTGTGTGGTTGACGAGAAAAGAAGCATCCTCTGCAAAAAAAAAAGTAAAATCACTTTCGGAACGATACCATATATTGTTGAAGGAGCAATTATAAAGCAGAGTATGATTCGGTCACAAAGCTAAAGTTCCTTTCGGAGTCAAAAGTGATATTATGTGCAAAGAAATGGAAGCCTAGCTCACATCAGTTTTAGTCTCCTCCTATATATCTCAGTGCTCACCAAGCACTTGCTCGAGTCCGAGAATTTTGATTTCGTTGTCCTCTATGTCTTAAAGATATCAGATTTAACTGAAATCCTTCCATCACTGATTTAGTGATTGCCATACCTTCATATCAGATACTAAGTGCTCGAAAGTTGCTCGAGGTTGAGCTTCAAATCTCGTGGGTATCTTTCCGTTTCTGCTGCATCACTTATCGTCAATGACATTACAGATGAAAGCTTAACGATGGGTAGGATTCGAATGTTGATGAAATGTGGATGAACTGACTTAGGAGGCCATATTTGTCCCACAAATAATCATTTTGGGCAACAATTTAGGCTCTCGTACAACTTGTAGAAGGGACGCAAATTTAATAAAGTGCTTGAAAAGCTTGCGTCAGTAAGATTTTTGAGCGCTTTGCAATTTCGTGAGTATAAACTCATTCAGCCATAAGGCTGAGCTTCTTCTCTCAATTTTTACAGCACTTAAAATCGAAGAGGCTAAAATATTGCTAACATCTTTCCCCTCTTTTCTCTCCATTTCCTCTGCTCTTTTGCGCCTTGTCTTATTGTGCCAGTGCTTTCACATTTTACAGCTTTTAGAGTTTGAAATTTTGCCTGGCTTCAAACATGAAAGTGGAATGGAAAGTATGTTTGAAAGCATCTGTCAAGCAACTCTACTTTTATGTATGTAATACGAGGGTAATGTTATGAGATTCATGCTCCCATTTAGTATTCCTCGAGCATCAGCACCCATTTCTAATTTTTACCTGTAAATTTGATGCTAATCACTGTCAACCCCCAGTCTTTCTTCATAACAAACAAACAGATCTCATAGCAGCTGCTGAAGTGCTATGTCCGAAATTGGGAGATGGGTTTCTTTCGCTTGCTTTTGCGTCTCCGCCTCTTTTAGAGACTGAAACTTCACAGCAACCTATCCTCATGAAAGCTTCATCCATAATCTGTGTAACCACGGTGCTATCTCCTGTTGGGTAGAAATTGTAGGGAAGTAAAACTTGAGTTTAAATAGTAAGTTAGACTTTAAGATTTCAGAGGGAGTTGAGACGTCGAAAAATTAACAGAACAAAGCTTTTATTTTACGAACATTCGCTTCAGCTGTTCCTATAATTTCATCCAATTCATGTCAAACATCATAGAGGTCGGAGTGTGATAGATTTAGCAAAAATGTAAACAGCAAATTGCAGTGCATGCAATTTGAGTGACCACTGTGACAATAAATGTAAATCTATAGCTAACAAATCTGCATTATTCTCCAGTTAACGAAAAACGTCTCAAGCTCACTTCAACAGCTTTTTTTAGGAATGCTGCAACATTCTTCATATCATATTCATTTAGGTTATAGCCATAACCTGCAAAACACAGTTATCTAAAAACGATTTGTATAGATCCCTACAAAATTGTAGCCGCTATGCTTTCTAGGTATATCAGAATTCGTTGTCCCTTATCCACTCATTGTCTACTTTGATTGGTATACATTTACTTGTGCTCACTGATAGATATTGCCAATAAGTTAATAAAATTACAATCGTGGACGTCTGCAACAGTACTAAAACTTACTCAGCAAATTGTTGAAATTTCAACTACCCACTCGCTTCTTCTTCATAACGACTGCAGAGCACGAAAGCATGAAGGGCCTAGTCGCTATAGCAAGCTTTAGCATCACTATTTTTTGTCTTACTAATCGTCATGCAATTAGGAGCATTAGCCAAGTTCTCTTTTTACTCGTTCTCTCAGCTTTGCTCTCACTCGAGACTGTTAATTGCACTCTTACTTCGTGTATCGTTCGTCAGTGACAATTTTGTTCTTTGTATTATCCTTTATTGCAGATTATCTCACGCATGGTCAAACATGGATTGGCCAGAGTATGGTCCCTTGCCATTTTTTCGTGGAGAAATGTATATGGTAATATTGCAGTCGGTATTTTACGGTGGAGTTTTTCTTGTGGGATTTTTTGGTGAGTAGTTACAATCGAATTCTACAAAGTGTTGTCAAGCTGTGGAGGTTGAAAAGGATAACGTCATCAAAATGTATCCAACAATGATTTGACTGAATTAGGTAATGACGGAAACTTTTTTCGTTAAGCAAAAATTGTACTCAAACAGTATAAAAAGCAAGTTCAAACAAACAGTCAATTTTTTGTTAGGAATGGAATATCCATATGTGAAAATCATAGCGAAATAGTTTCTAATTTCTTCCAGAATATTAATCGGTTAAAAAATCATTTTTTTGGCATTATGTAGGTTACATCTTTTTAATGATTAATTCAATCTTATTCTTCTTTTTCAAATCATCAAAGTTTTTCAAGGAAACATCTTTGTTGTATTGGCCGTAGTGTCGCAATCACAGCTACGAAGTACGACTGATTACCTCATTTCATCTCTTGCCATGGCTGATTTGCTCATTATTATTTTTTGCCTTCCAACCACTTTGCTCAACAATATTTTAACAGGTAAGCGAACGTTAATCAATGTTTACTCTGCTTCTTGTTTGTGACTATTCTTGAAATATATATCAGCTTCTCTTTGCGTTTCCTTTTACGAATGATATAGACTTGAAGCATTCAGTTTTCGAGATTTGCTTGCATTAGTCATAGGACTACATGTTTCCTTTGATTATATTCTAAACTATACATGTCTAAGGTTTTCACATATCTTGAGCGAAGTTTGCACTACGATGTCTATCGTTTTTATCTACTTTTTTAATCGCTTCTAGGTTAACAGCTTTTTCTCTTCTGATCTTGCGTGATTCTACCAGCAAAGCATCTACACGCATTTTTTACAAGGTGGCGTAAAAGCTTGTCCTATTTTGCAAGGCGATTTTCTCAGATTTGTGGAGAGTGATTTACTTGCCATACTTTGAAACTTCGTGTTCATTTAGAGTCTTGCTCATATCGCATTAAAGTGTTGTAATGAAATTCTATCTATTCATTGAATTTTAAGTCATACACATTTATTTCTGCAAAGGTGTTCAGAGTTGAAAGCTCTGGAAGTATTAGGTTGTCCCATGAGTTTTTTCATATTCGGACCAATTCGATTTTTCTCAGGAACTACAGCACCTAGTAGGCTGCAAATTTTTGGCAGTAATTCTGAGCGAATAAGCTATATAATTACCTACTTGCGGGAATACAGAAGTGATATAGGCAAAGTTTGAAAATTGAGCGCATTATTTTTTTCTTGGTTTCTAGCCATCAGAAAAATGCAGCAAGTGCATTTATAAATATCCGATGAGGAGAGTATATGCATGAAAAAATAGGAAATTTGCAGAGCTGTTTTGAACTGAGATATGATGATTTTCGTTTTTTCGGAAAATCGCGAAAATTTTTTATTTTGGCTTGGAGCATGTTGCGGATTGGACTTGGTGCGAACTTCGCCATCTTGTAGAGTTTACTTTGATCTGTCGAATGGTACCCTGCATTTTATCAGGAGTTCAAAAAGAACTGATTTATGTCGTTGAAAAGTCAGGTATGAAAAGACTTATGGGACAACCTAATAGTTCTCCTTAGTTTACTGCAGAATAGTGTTGTTTTCCACCAAGTGAATTCCAGGCAATAAACTCTAGTTTTGCGTTCATACCTCAATCAAAGCTTTCGTTCCACTGAGAAGATTTGACGAATCGAAAAAAAATTTCGTATCCTTTGAAAAAAAATTTTGACAGCGTTTTAGTAGGTTTTTGAGGTTTACCGTAAAGTGCTTTGTTATATTATTGATATAAACCTTCTCACATCGTCATTATTGGATTCACATTTCACAGAAGAAATTGTGAAGATAAACAGCACTGGAAAAGTCATTTTACGAACGTACTCTTTCAAGCTCATGTAGCATTTCAACATTGTTAACCATTGTTATTCAACAGCTGCATGAATCAAGAATTTGCTCAAGCTCAACCAAAGTTTTTCAAAAAAGGAAACATGTGCATGGGTCAATTCTACTAGGGTCCGAAAATTTGCGCCGTTTATAGGGCCTATATCTATATTGCTTAGGATAATGATAGAGGAACGCTTCGAACAGTGTTCAATGCAAGATCTCTTTCTTTTTTCTTAGCAGTAGTACTTTTGTCACAAAGCCTTTCATGATCGCTCGAATTTTCGAGTCATGGTTTCATTTACATTAATTTCTGCTGTTTTGTAGAATTTTTTTTGGGACTTCTGAAGGAGCTTTTTGATAGCGATAGCGATATAGTAAAAAAAGGGAACACAGTGCAATTTTTTGGAGTCTATAACTGGCTTTTCAAGATTTTGGCACCCTAAATCTGACGATTTGCTAGTCCTTACCCCTGTCTGTGTTTATTTTTTATTTTTTTGTGCATCTTGATTGATGTAAAGGAAAAATAAAGTAGATTTTAAACTCACAAATCCTAGTCAAGAAAGAACATCTAGCAGATTATTGCTGGACTATTGCAAAAGAATATAGTAAATTTATTTTCCCTTTCAGCCCTTCCCTTAGACGGATTTTTGTTTCTAGATTCTCTCGGGACTCCTCAGAAAGGAAAGAGGGTCTAGATCGATTTTGGATAAATAGTTTTTAAAGAGAATTCATAAACTCGTCTTGCATAAAGTTTGTCTTCTTTTTTGGGACGATCTTTTGTGCGTTGTGAAGAAAAAAACGAACTTGTTCTAACATGTTCGTTTTTATTGTATTATCAATTTTAAATATTTTAAACATCATATTATACTTCTATATGTCGACTCTGTAAATGAACAAAGTATTATTTCTTCCACTAAGACATCAAGAACGTATTGGCAACCATCCATTATCTTCTCTTCTATTCGTATTCAAACTAAAACCACTTTCATCAAGAATTCTGGAATGGATTTGGAATAAAAAAGTTGAAATTTCAGAGTGGCAGCTGGGTGCATTATTCTGCAAGTTGTCGACGTGGATAAATGCGACAACATCATGTGCATCCATTTACACGCTTGTCACAGTTACAGCCGACCGATATCTGGCCATATGTCACACAATGAAGTAGGTTTCTGGGGCCAAAATTGTGAATTTCAAGAGAAAAGTTTCGAAAAAGGAATAGAGCTACCAACGTACGATGTTTTGCGTTTTGACACCAGTTTTGAGGTATTCAATAATGAACACCCGAACAGCAAGCATACGGTCGAGTCATTTGTGATATAATATGGGGCTGTACGTTTCCATTTTGTATGGGATCCCTTTACTTTACATTACAAAAAGTCAGTAAAATCAATCCAATATTGTGCGAACCGAAGATGTATACTACTTACACATTACATCACCTCCCTATAATCAAAGACAGAAGAGAACAAAAGAGATCTTTCGGAATTTCATTATGTAAACGCATGTTATGAGATGACATACGTACACATATTGAGTTGCGTACATATTGCGTACACGAGAAATTGGTGATTTTTAGTGGAAGAAATGTTCCAAGTTAAAAATTAGCGCGTTTTCAACAAAGTTACGGAATTTTCGGCTACCTAGGAGTTAACATCATGAAGTAAGAGCTGCATCTCTGAGCAAAAATCTCCAGCAAATGCGTTCCAAGCTGATTCCAAATATATGTGTCTCATCTCAGAAGGCGACTAAATTAGTATCCTTCCCTTGTTAGAAGCGATATTCTTTAAATTTGCATGCCATAAAGCATTAACTTTGCAAAAAGCTTGTATAGGAACCCGTTTTTGCGGGTCAAAAAAGTGTGGACCAGCTTGGCGCTTTTCACGGATCCGCTTATGTTTTTGCATAGTGAGCCAATGCTGAAAACATATGTTATGCAAAATTTGGGCGCAAGAGCTTGTAAGGAACTCGTTCCACGAATTTCGTCGCGGACAGACAGACTTACATACACCAACAAAAACACGCAAACAACCCTTAGCCCGTTATTATAAGCAGATTTGTTCGGATACTAAGAAAATTGAAATTGATAACGCTTGTCCAACATGCTCAACATTGCTCTTAATCTAATTTACAGACGCACAGCACGAAAGATAAAGTAGGTCTCAAAGATTGTTTGTCGATCACATACCGCAAGGCGTTCGTTTCTTGATGTAAATTGCAACAGATTATATTAGGTTTGCTACAAAATAGTTCGGTTGTTTTTAAACTTGTGAATAAAATCATGATACTACTGAGGAGAGTAAATCAAGGAGGATTGATTGATCCACTCATTTTGAGCAAAATTATTCTTTTGGTGACGAAATGGTGTAGGGAAGTAGAATATCCAGATCTATTCTCCAAATATTACCAAAAAAGCCATGCTTTCAAAAGGAAATGAACTGTATAAAGTGAAGATTGGGTACTACATATCAGATTCTCACATTTCCAAACAGTGCATGGCCACGGATAGTTAAATCAAGTGATTTAGAATAGCCAAAAATGATGTTACATGCGAATAACTGAGACTCTTACAATTTTGGCTGCAGATTTACAAAGACAGCAGGTCACAATTTTAGCGGTTTATTATGTAGCCAAAAATAATGTGTACCTAATAAATTATTCCTCTGTCCACACAATACAGTTTAGAAGTTAGCTATGTAATGATGTTGACTGCCTTGCAGTATGATGATCATTTTTCAGCATTAGAAATATAACAGCAGATATTTGATACTAAAGCCTTACGAAAAACTTTAGCTACCTAATAACAACTTAAGTTATAAAAACACCTCTCCACTGCGTGCAAAACAAAATTATTTGTTAGTCAACCTAATATATGGTATGGAACATTGCGTGTAAAGCACACCAGTTGCGGTATCCAACGTGTCCTGCTCTTTTCCCGTTTACAAGCAAACATATCTACAGGGCTCCTAAACTGCAGAGTCGTTTGCACCAGCGGTCGCACGACCGCTGGTGCAAAGGACTCTGCAATTTAGGCGCCCTGTAGGTAATTGTTCTTTCTCGCCATCATCTTGTTGCAACAAAAGTTCTACTTATTAATAAGTTGGGTAGGCAAGCATAACGTTACGAATAATACGACTATAAGTGTCATGCCTGCAGCAGAAACGTGGAAACGCACATAGACCGTAAAGGGCCGGGCATACTTCACGCGATTTCAGTCGCGACGCGATTTGGCAATTCGTCAGAAGTCTTCAGATTCAATACTAGCAATGTGCACGTGCACAGTGTATATTCTTCAGATTCAATACTAGCAATGTGCACGTGCACAGTGTATATAAGTTAGATGGATTGATAAAATGCCCTATCTTCTGTACATTTGGAATGTAATTATGGCGAATTATGGACAGTTGGAATGTTGCCAAATCGCGTCGCGACTGAAATCGCGTGAAGTATGCCCGGCCCTTAACCGTGCAATATTCTCCATGTGATGCGCTTGTGCGATTGCGTCATGGGCGCAAGCCAATTGCTATAATTCATGTGATATCATTTTTAGGTATACATTATGGGAAGCAGGTTATACATTGTACATTATAGCAGGAATTTGGATCGTTAGCGGTGGACTAGCTACTCCTAGTCTATATGGTTATGATGCGGTAAGGCTTTATTCAACTGATTTTATATTTACACAAGAAAATACATAATGAAGTATTTCACTTTATTGTGGGTAAAGATAGCAAAGGATAGGGCGCTGTTTCATAATACAAAATCCAAAAAATTTTAAACCTCGGGTTTTGCTATAACTTTGCCGTGGGGTTACGGTGGGTATACAGCATGGATTGAAATATCAATTTTGGCTGAAATTCGGCCTAAGGGGTTAGTTGAAATGCTTGTAACAAATATGTCTATTTTGAACCAATTTTTGTGAGGTTATGACAGGTATATCATAGTAAGATCTTACAATTCGACCATAACCTTACAATGTTACAATCTCACATTCTAACAATCTTACAATTAAACTTCGCGTGGGAGGCGGAAGTTATTCTACGCGGTGATCAAGAATTTCGCATCTTTACCAAAGCGCTATATGGGTCACGATAGGCATGTGGTTTGATTGAAAAATCTCAGAATTCACTCTGTTTTGCATAAAGGGAAGGTCATTCGACCCGCTCAGGAAGTATCACATTTTCTTGTAGAATTTCTGACTCGTAGCCTTATGCACGCAAGGTAACCCTAACTCGAGTTGGCTTTCGAGCAGAATCTAAATGGCTTCTCATACTTTGAGCATAAACACTACACCTATAATTTTAGAAAGATTTGAGAAGTTGATCATGTTTCACTTTGCATGTCACATCGAAATGCGAAACAATCAATAAAATCTTATCTTTCAACCATAAGTGGTCTATTTATCTAATATGTACACTGATCTTAGAAAATTTGAGAAGACAATTTTCTGCGTTAGATGAACAGCATAAATTCGTTCATTTAGATTTACTTCGACTACGAGAATTTAACGCTGTGCGTTTGCGCATCACGAATAAATGAAAAGCTCCAGTTTGTTGTGGTGAACCTTATTTTGGCGTTCATCGTACCTTTTTTGCTCATTTCGGTCTCTTATACCAAGATCTTCTATACTGTGTCAAATCATCGAAGCCTCGCTGTGGATGCACATGTAAGTTTTTTATTACATATCATTCAAGTCTCAATGTAAGCTAAAATCGAAAAATTGCTAGGGTCTCTTACTCCTTACTCTTGAAGATAACAGTTCAAGTGATTGTTTATCTTGTACATAAAAACTTACTTTCAGGCGCGTGACGAGCGAGTGAAGCTTCGCGTGGCAACTATGATGCTTACTGTAATAGTCGTATTCGCATTATGTTGGCTACCGTTGTATAGTAAGTTTTGATAATAGATTCTTACAAGGAGAGGATACTTAGTCGAAAGCACCAATCCAGATGAGGCATGTATCATCTGGACGTGCTCGGAGCGCTGATTTCAAATCTGGCAAAATCAACTGCGGAGCGCCTTTGGGCAACGAGTTATGGTTGTATTTGTGAAGAAAATTTGAAGTCGAGGGAAGAAAAATTATACGCAGAAGTCTCCAGTTGGGCTCGAATGGGGGAGTGATGTCTGTCAGATTACTCTGCGCAAAGAAAAATGTCTGTCTGCTACATTCTCATTTAAAATGAGACTACTTGCGAAATATACATGTTGTAACAATCAATTTTACTCTCTTTACCCACTCAATTTTTGGCTCTTGAAACGGTCATAGCTCCTCACCCAAAGGCGCTCCGCAGCTGATTTTGCCATATTTGAAATCAGCGCTCCGAGCAGGTCACGACGATGTATGTCCCATCTGGATCGGTGCTTTCGACTAAGTATCCTCTCCTTGTTAGCATTACTTTGTAATGGTATTATGATTTGGGCTAATGCTTGTGTATCGCCTTAAACCTCCAGCTCTGAAAATTGCGGTAAAAAATTTTCTGATTTTTTTTCAGTACAGGTAGTGCTGTCTTTGGAAAATGCTATAAATTTTCCTCTTTTCAAATCAGTTTGTTGAATGATTTTTCGTTTCCACCAATTTTTCAAATGTACCGACGTGGTGTTTACAGGAAGAGAAGGAACCTGAATTAATAAAATGTCTGTCTAGAAAGTCTCAATCTTATATATAAAGCTGGATGTCTGTTTGTCTGTCTGTATGTCTGTATGTATGTCTGTGTGTACGTATGTTCCGAATAGAAAATTCCATTTCTGAACCGATCCGGACCAAACTTGGCACACATACACTACGGGCCCCGGCGGGTGTCATAGGCTACTTTTCGTCATCGATCGATATCGATTTTATCGATTTTTTGCAAAATTTGAGTATCGATTGATGACGAAAAGTAGCCTATGACACCCGCCGGGGCCCGAAGTGTATGTGTGCTAAGTTTGGTCCCGATCGGTTCAGAAATGGAATTTTCTATTCGGAACATACGGCGGAGCCGGGTAAGCCAGCTAGTATGTAAAATGATTGATAACCAATTGGTTTTTACTCAAAATATACAGTAGTATAGCTTGCGAGCCTATTAATGTTGCCAGTAAATTATATTCAATCCTGTTCTTCTTCGAAATAAATCATGAGCTGAAATTTGAGTTTGTTAAGAAGTCACCTTCATGTAACATGTTCTGTCTTAAAGTAATTAGCATTTGTCATACGTTCCTTCGTACTTTGTTCTCATTTTTTAAATTACTCACGCACAGATAACTTAACCCATTGAAGTTTTATTCAAATCTTACACAATCTTTTGTGAACCTTGCTAGTATGGATGACGAAAAGAAAGCGATGAGATGGCGCTAATAGACTTCGGCACAGAACTAAGCTAATTTCGCCCACTGCCTGAGTGCTTCGAATAGAAATAAATCAAGCCAATGCTGCACAGCTTCTACTTCCCAAAAGCAATTGCCAAATTCTCGAAACATGGAGAAAGTTGTTGAGGAAGTTGGAGGGAAGTTAGGGCGAGGGTCAAAATAAACGGGAATCCTCCTGAACTTGCACTTTACTGCAATGGCATACAAGCTGTAGTAATGGGCAAAATGTTTAAGTTGTTTATGTTCAAATGCATCGATATTTAGGCATCTATACCTACTTCTTTTTCTTCGCGGATAACACTTCGTATGCCTTCGAAATAGCGTCTCAGGTAGGCTTTTTTATACATATCTTCCATTTAACATGGTCCTTGATCTCACAAGGGAAGGATACCAGCATTAGTTGGCGATTGAAGATGAGATGTATATCACTAGATGCATCTTTGAACGATGATTCCAAATCTGCTTTTCTTTTTTGCGGAATAAGTTTGAGAAAGAAGTTATGAGCGTTTGAATGTCCAGATTTGCCAAGCATTGAGTGGCTTAAAATCAGCGAAAAGTTCTGAAACAACGCCTATGCAATTTCCACCGGCTTTGTTCCTTTCTTGCAAACAATATGCTCGATACAAAAATGATTTTCCACTTTCCGGTGCTTTTATACAGCTTTTCGCCAATTTTAGGCCACCTAAACCTTTACAAATTTAGACATTTAAACGCCCACAACTTCTTTCGGAAACTTATTCCGCAAAAAAGGAAAGCAGATAAGGAATCAGCGTTCAAAGGCGCGTATACTAGTATCCATCTCATCTTTAATTGCCAACTAATGTTGGTATCCTTCCCTTGTCAGTACAGTTTGTATCCCTGATGTCTTTTAGGTACTACGTCCCTTCTTCCAGTGGCTGTCTTTGTTGAGTAGCTCGCTCAATCCATTGATATACATCGCCTATAGTCAAAAATATCGTCGAGCATTCCATAAAATTCTTCTGATGCCTTGTCGATCAAAGTAGATTTTTTTAACGCCAGTCTCGAGGCATGTTCGTAACTCTTTTTTTAGATATCAGCGAGTACGTGGAACACTTCTACGTAGTACTAAAACGGAGGTTTCGGAAGGGAGCGTGTTGAAGAAGGTACCTTCATCTTTAGTTTGAGATATATTGATTTTATTTGAAGTTTCGAGTTTTCCCTAAAAGGTAGATCTTTTATATTTTTTGGAATGCATGTGTTCAAAGGACTACACTATACTCATCTATAAACGAACATCCAGACTTTTGAAATTTTTCTGTGTTTGCCAAGATAGGGTTCTCATTTGCTTACGATGGTAGACACATAGGTGTACCTATTCATAGCCGTACTTTTACTTCAGCAATAAGTTTTGGGTTGTTCCATAAGTTCGTAGCATGCTCATTTTCATCCTCAGTTCTTTGGAGAGCGGTTGATTTGCGGCAAGATGCTTTGGAAAGCTGCAAAAGCAGCTCTTTATAACAAATGATTTGGATAGGAAGCTGATCAATTACAATATTTTTTAGCTTCCAGAAGTGGAATTCAAAAAGGCAAAAAGATGCATTTTCAACATTTTATATTTTTGCGTGTGAAAGTAGGCGTTTTTTGCACAGTTTGTTACCTGCTATGGAAAATGGCAATTGCTCGTCAACTTGAGACGAAAAGAGATTAGTTTGTCAAGAGAATCAAGAGCTGGGTGTCCTAGAACAAGATTTATCTGCGGATGGACAGGGTCCTGGACAAGAAGAAGACGATCGGCTATACCGTACACAACCAAATTGCATTGCTTCGTGGGCCACATTGCAAAAGAAGTCTTTTAGACAGATTCAACGAATTTTTCCGCTTGACAGGGCATGAACCCATGCGTCAAACGTCGTCGAAACTGTCCTGCAAGATTCGACTGGAAGGTACCTCAGTATCCGACGTCTTGCTCTATCAAATTAACTATTGTTTCGCTCTTCCTCAGAATTCATGATTGGTGCATGTCCTGATTTTAGAAAGTAATTTGAGCACTATTAAATCACCTTCTTAGGACCCGGCGCGCTCTCTGAAAAAAAAATTGAGATTGAAAAGCTGACAAGAGTGTGGCAAAAGGGCGTGCGCTACATCGAGGATTGCAATATTGACTGGTTCCACCAAGGATTGATGACTCTGTTAGTTTATGAAAACGCTACGAACTTATGAAACGAAATAATTGAATTTTTTGCACATGTGACCTCACCTTGAAATCTTTGTCCATTCTCAAACAATCGCTGGGGGCAGGCGGGCACCGGAAAAATAGATTGCTGATTTCTCGCACCCGCTCGCGGATTTTTTGCAAAGCAATCAGGACTTTTCGGAAGACCGCTTGCTGAGTCAGCGGATTTTTGAGAGACCGCCTGTTGAATTTTTTTTTGCTCTTATCTTTTGCAGATATATTGCTGAATCTCTGAGGAATCGAGAACTCAGCAAGCGGTCTTCCGAAAAGTCCTGATTGCTTTCCAAAAAATCCGCGAGCGGGGTGCGAGAGATCAGCAATCTATTTTTCCGGTGCCCGCCTGCCCCCGGCGATTGTCTGAGTTGGAGTAATGAAGGTCTTCGTATTTTTCCAAATCGTACATATTAATTGATTCAGTGATCAACTTCGAAAGGACTCGCTTTCTTATGCAATCTAGTTCACTTGATAAGTGCATTTGAATAGAAGATTAACTTTGTGTTTTCAATGTAAGGGGGTCCTTGAAAAACAAATCGAAGGTTTGTTTTCTGATAACTGTTTTGAGCAGCTTTCGCAGACTTCTAGGTAGCAGTAGAAGCTTGAAATGAGATCGGCAATAAAAAACAAATTATCGATTTTTCTGGAATTACGATATTAGCTTTGAAAAGAATTTTGTGCCAATGAGGGCATATACGTCTCCAGATCGTTTGAAACAGCTGGAGACACTGTTCCCAGGTTAATTAGCTTGCTGATTCGTAAACGAGCTTTGGTTCAATGTGTTCTTATCTCAAAGGTTACAAGGCACACCGAGACAGCGGTTTTCCTGATAATCATCAAAAGGCCGTTATGCCATTTTAAATGCTCTCAAAACTTTTACAAAGCTACTTACTCGAGGCAGTGGTCCTAAAAATCACGCCAAAAAATTCACACTTTCTGGCAGTTTTCCTTGATCAGTTCAAAACAGCTAGTTTGCAAAACGAAACTGCACTTTTAATCCCAGTCCCACAGTGTTAACGAAAATGGGCAATTCGTTCTTGCATCTAACGACAAATTAACCCATTCCTAAAAAGTGCTGCCTAATCAAATGTTTGATACTTTTTCGGGATAACCTATATTTGGCTGCAGCTGAAATTAATTGAATCATCTATGCCTATAAATAGAAAGTGTGATGTTTCGCCTCTGCACCCAGACAGGTGGAATATAAATCTCCCGAGGCTCATGAGTAGAGAGGAGCGTAAAGCCTAACATTTGGTAATTATTGCCTGAGTTCCATACTATGTTCATTTAAAGAAAACCTCATTTTTTCGTCATGTAGAATGAAATTACTTTTGCAGACATATTCGATAACTAATGATAATTGACAACAAAATCATTGTGCATCATCCACATACACTTTTTTATAAGATTTTTCGACCCACTGAGCATCTATAACTAAGCATGCCCAGATTTCTTTTTCTTAGATTGTATCGCCTGTACACCCTGATGCTACTTAATTCTCCCTTATCTTGAATACTGATGTACACCTTGAAGCTATTCACAACTGCCTCATTAAGAATACTAATGAATTCTCCGACAATTGTCTTCTCCTTCAAAATGTAGGAGAGCTCTTTAGGCTTGAGCACATTCAAAATATCTTCTAGCTAAGATATGATAACGTTATTTACAGCTGCTAAAACTGTGCCATTTATGTTGATACATTCATAATCTTTTTAACGTTCTGTTCTATGCTCTTGGCCTTTGCTAACCTAACTTCTGAACGAATGATCTTTGTTCTCTAAGGATTTATTTTGCCACAAACATAACTGAATCCTCAACTGATGAGAAATGATTGAGCAGTAACCATGTACTGTATCCACTGTAATTTTTTGTCTCTCAGGCTTCTGACCATCTTTAAATCTAATATATTTATGCTTGTGTAATTTCGATCACGCCTAGTAATTTATAAATACTTTACCATACTGTTCGAAGCTCCCCTCGGAAACATTCCTATGCTGATCTGTTTCATCTTCATCGTGAGCATGAATATCTTTTTGTTGCGAGTGCTCAAAAAAGCGCAAAAATTTGATTTTCATAACTCAGCTTAGTTTTCCACAAACCCATACACTTTCAAGAATAATGACACATCGTTTGAGGTTTAAAATATGGTTTCGTCCTCAAGCAGGAGGATAATACGGTGTGATTTATGACAAGTACTACGAAAGTGATTCTGTTGCTGAAATTTCAATAACTTTGCGCAATTCATTTTTCAGGGGGTTTCACGAAGTTAGTCAAGTACAGGAATTGGTAACCTTATGGACTAATGAGGAAATAGCGGGAAATATACTCGTTCTTCTTAACTGTGAAAGAACGAATTTATTTATCTGGTTAGAAATCGTGACAGGATCCCATTAATTGTCTTTTTACTTATTTTTATTTAGTGAAACACTTAAGGTACACTGAAATAGAAATAAGAGCTCGATTGGAGCTCGATTAAACATGGCCGTTAGCCGTTACTGCAAATTTCAAACAATCACATGGAATATTTGCGATGCTGAGTAACGGACCACGCGGGCATTTGATATTCGAGAAATTTTGTTGAAGAACTTTTCTTATATTGAAATAGATCATCAAATTGCACAAGTCATCCAATCTTCTATGCACTCAGAAAGTATTAACCTTCAATAAGTATTTCGGAGGATATGGTCCGATCAAATTCATTTATTAGGTTGGCTAAAAAATAAGTTCGGTCGTTTTTAGCAGTTTGTAGAACTGTCACAAATCAGTTTTTGTGTGGGCATATAAGTACCATTGGAAAGAGCAAGTCAAGGAGAATCGAAAGGTTAACTCTTTTTCTCAAAAATAATTTTTCTGATAATGAAATGATGAGGGAAAGAAAATTGGTCTGATTTTTTCTTCAAAATTTCGAAAAATCACGCTCCGAAAAACGAACTGAAGTCAGGTGTAAAGTGTAGATTCGCTATACCAACACAGCAAATTTTTGAATTTCCAACCATTTGCATGGCCATAGATGACCAAATTTATCTGGAATGCTCAAAATTTGACCTTCGCGCGCAAATGACTGGAAATTTTTCACAATTTTGACTGCAGAAATTCAGAAACAGCAAGTCACAATCTCTATTGTAATTCGCCGCCTAGCCAGAAACTATATGTACCCAGTCGCCAAATTACTCGCCTGTGTACTCACTGCTGGCTGAGAACGAAAGCTAGAAAGTCAAAAAGCGATTTTTTAGAAGTCTGACCATATAAGGTTATAACTGTCTTTTTGCTAACACAAAATCTTGACTATTCACTTTTTAAAAGTAGAGGCTTGAGGCATCTTCTCACGAAAAAATCTTGGCTGAATAGTTGCTACTTGAAATGTTATGAAGCTTTAAATTTGCATGTCAAAACGAAATTATTTATTAGCCAACCTAATATAATTATTCAATTGGATTCTTCCACCTGGTTCCACCAAATGATATGACTTACTCGTTTTCGCATAATGATGGCTTTGAAACTCACCGCGCAATGCTGTCTATCACGAATGAATTGTAAGCAATTACTCCTTCCAAAAGCTTTTTCATGTGAGATAAGTAATTCTAAGATGAAACTTTTCGCAGAAGAACACATGCAATTATGAATTTGTTTCTGGTTTTTACGGCTTAGTAGTCGCCATATAGACAAAGTCACCTTGAGCTACATCTCCTTGCAAGAAAGTTCTTTAATGCTCAGGTAAGATCTTGGCAAACTGGAAGTTTACGCCACTAATTCTTTTGACGCCGTTATTCATGGACTAATAAGGTTCATGGCTTGCACATTCTCGTCAAACATATGATTTTGCATAAAGTGGTGATACGGACCCAATTTTGCTGACCAGAAGCCAACCGGATCCGTTTGGCGCGCAATCTTTTGACAAATTCACTCAACGAATCCGCCTGTGCTTTTGCATGGTGGACCTTGTGCTGCTAGCGTGCGCTAGGCAAGACTTGGGCCCAGAAAGTCGGCTGGAACACCCTCTACACTTTGCTCCAGCGGGATTGGCGGCTGGAAAGCGACCGCTCGCACCTGCTATGCAGTTTGCGTCTCTCTCGCGAGCCTGCTCTCTGATTTTTCCTTAACTTTGACTATGCCTCGAAGCCCCGCCTTCCAGCCGCCGATCCCGTTGGATCAACGATACGAATTTCGTAAGGACAGACAGACACGCACACGCACACACAAAAACGTAAACACCCTCAGCCTTTATTATAAGTTATGATGATTTTTGCATGCAATTAAACCTCCCTCGCTATAATCCTTTGCGTCAACTCATCAAGAAATGTTATGATTTATGAAGGGGAAAAATCCAATGGTAAGATGAATCCTGAAATTGCTTTCACATCCACTAAAAAAATTGTCGACAATTATCCTACTTTGGTTACATTGTCTATATTTTCCCATTCCAGAATTCGCCCACATTTCGAGGCGGGAGTCGAGTGATACGAGAGGCTTCAACTGGGCCAGATAAGGACACGGCCATATCGCCAATGATCACCCTGATAGATAGTCCTCGTTCGGAGAGGAAAAGCAATAGCTCAACGTGCTAATAGTTCTTACATCAATCACATTTCTCATCTAACATGGGTCCATGCGCCTTCTTTGATTGCCAATGATATGTACAAAATGGCAAAACGAACATATTTTTGGGGGATCGGGTACTGAGCCGTAGTATAAACGATTAGCAGCTCACTTTCATCTAATCTCCACTTGCGATCTCGACTTATAAACTTTAGCGTTTTTCCCGGGAAATCTTGAGTTTTTCTTCTATATTCCGACTAGCTGTTGTTGGAAGACATATTTGCATTTCTATCACCATTTAGCAGCCAAAGAAAAGCTCAGTTCCTGATTTTTAGACCTTATCGTGTATGTTACTATGAATATCGCTTTTGCAATTATCATCGCATTGTTTTTTGGGTTTCATATACGCGGTAACAATAAACATTCCTTGATAGATACACATAGTTTCTCCTTCTTTCTTCGTCAAAGTTTCAGTCGAAATACTCTGCTAGATTTGAAGCACTGGCTGCTTAGATAATTGGAAAGTAGCCAGCGCTCCTGGTCGTGAGTGAATTACACCCAGTGCTTCGCAGACTAGAGATTGAATTCTTGGAGGAACCACAGCTCTCTGGGAATAGAAGGGAGGAAGTAGAGAGAAGACAAATAATTTCTGCTAATCCCTATTAGTTGCTGACCTAATTTCTAATTGAGTACAAGAACTTAATAAATGATGAAGTATTTATAGACCCAAAAATTCTTGAGTCATCTAAATGTTGGCAACGGAAGTCCGTGAGGAATTGAACCAAACTAATGATGAGTCGATAGATAACATGTCATTACCCCTTAAATTTTTCTACACGGCGCTCACCATAGATAAAAACAACAGCCTATCATATTATTCCTGGTCAACTTTACGGCGATTCTTCTCTCCTTTTTATTCCTTTCGATGATGATCATGCAGTATTTGTTCATTGCATAAACTGCGCTTTACAAAGACTCCTTAATTTTTCCAGATGTGATTTTTTTTGCTGAGATGCAAAGCATCTATGACGATAATGCGCTGTTATCACCCAAACAAATAAGTGTCTTTCATAATCAAACCCATTAATACATTTTACATCTAATAAAATACTTTTTTTCATGATTTATCGTCTGAGTATGAATAAATTATATGAAGTCAGTCAATTAAGAAGTTTCTAAATGTAAAGTCCTGAATGCGTTCTAAGCCGACACAAGATCACTCTCTCGAACACTGATCCTCTTTCCTTTCCTTGAGACCACCAAGAAATTCCATAAGAAACTTTCCGCTGTTCTTAACAGTGCGTGTCTTCTGTGGTGAGTCGAAATCAACTCTGAACGTTAGTTTCAACAGCGAAGATGCTGAATTTTGTAAAAGACCTGAATAGTCCGAATCTCACTGCAAATCCGTCATTCCACTCAAAATTATCCATTAATGACCAGACAGTGAATCCAATAACGTTGCATCCCCTTTGCAGAGCTAAAAGGTAAGAATTTAGCTGAGAACAAATTTTGATAAATTTATCTACCCATTCTGCAAGCTTCCATGTGAGCCTTGATAAAACGAATTCTGTGATGATCACATAGTGGGTCAAACTTTTGAGCCTGAATTTGCGCTGGATCAATTTAGCTGTGATAAAAACTTGCTAATATATGCTCAGCGAAAGTTGCAAATAATCTTCATTCATTTTCGATTCATTTTTTTCTATACTGAAAAATCTGCGATAATACTCCTTGAAAGGCAAACCTTTTCTCCCATAATGTCCGCGCATCCATTTTCAGTGATCAGCACGGGAATGTTATTGTAACGATCTCTGATGTATTCCAGCAACTCAAGCAGGCCCTCAGGTGTATATCGCAACCAAGATTCCTCACCGCAGATTCTAGAAAATGGAATTTATCTGCTTTCACCCAAAATTTAGTGTGTTACACGAAAAACTTTTGTAAAATATAGTGGCCTTGATATACCGAAAATATTGGTAATTCGCAGCACTAGGACGAAACTTCAAAGGAAATTTGGTGTTCTTTTTATGCAAACATGTAATATTTTTATTATAAAACCTGGGGTCATATGAATTGATAATTGTGCCATCGGTGGCGGTCTCAGAAATTCCCTCCGGAAGGAGGAGTGAAAAACACAGAATCTTATTCGAAGAGAGGGGTATGACTCTAAGGCTAACAAAAGATACAGCCAAAAAATTTCAAAACAAAAAAATTTTCTTCAACTGTTTAGAAAAGCAAGACGCGTCACCAGCACATTTTCAGAGCTCATATAGAATTGAGCAAGTGACCACTACTCCGCGGATCATTCTCGAATACATTGCTAAACAGTCTGAAAAAAGTTACAAAACACTGCAAAAAGGCTGCTCCCACTCTTCCTTCCCCACCCCACCCCGGCCTCTTCCTTCCTCCCTCCCGGAATTTTTGATATCGTGGAGAGTCAAACAATAGTAGGGCTTCCCAACTTTAATGGACCATTTCACTCTATAAACATTTCCAATGGCTGAACTCACCAGACTATGTAATACTTTTTTCTCTAATGCACAGATTTCTGAAACTTTTATTGAAAGAATTTTGACAGCTCTAGAATAAGTGAACAACAAATTTGCGATGTTAAAGCTTTGGCAAGAACAGAAAATTACAAATGTAAGTTGTCAATATCTCCGCGGAAATCGCGAACTATGCGAGACAGTTTACTTATTTTTGCACAAGCACTCTCATCGCAAGTTCTTCGAAGGAATACAGTAGATTGCTCAAAATCTCAAATAATATCGGTACTTACTTTTCCCATCGATCATCCAAGTAGTCAATGCGAGCATCTTTTTCCATTTGAGATGGGCCATTACCTTGACATACCTCACTCGATACATAGTAGTTAATTCCAAGAAAATCAGCAGAGCCTAAACGATTTCATAAGAATTTTTTAGACCTCAATAACTTGGACTAACCTTTTAACTCGTTTAGTTCTTCTGCGCTAAATTTTGGAAGGATTTCTTGGTTTTCCTTCTTTTCTAGAGCTTCTATCTCCTTTTTCATCAATGCAGGGTAATCTCCATTTTTGCCGAAAATCGGCTGTACAGTCCAGTTAAACATCCAGTCGAGAGCTCGGTTTACTGCTGCCTTGTCCGCCTCAGATGTGGAAAAGGTTGTGCACCAGCGGCCACCGACAATAATTCCAAATTTGCCTGTAAATAAACTTCAGCAGAATCTTCGCCTTTGCACTCAAAAATATTCAGTACCTTTCTGGGTATTTTTGAATTCCTTCTCGTACATTCGATAAGCTTTAGCATGCGCTCTCAGCATATTGTGTGCAACCACATACGGTATTTTTCTGGTTGGTATACTGTAGTTTACAGTATCAGGTGAATGATGAGGTTGACCTTCAATATTTACAACACCACACCATGCATGCATCAGAATTTCATTGAAGGAGATCCAGTACTTTACCTAAAATTCGGATCTGATACTTGAAAATATCTCGAAATATATGAAAACTTTGAAAATATCCAACCAAATCTCCAAAACGCTCGAAGCATAAGCGACAAAAGTCCAAGTACCATTGAATACACTGTGGATTGAGCCATCCTTTCTGTTTGTACAGCTCGTATGGCCAATCTGCATGGAATAGTGTTACCTAAAACAATCTCATAGGTGAGCTATTGAGAGTAAATTAGCTATTATGTGAGATGCAGCAGAGAAATCTAATTAGATTTAGACTGGAAAAATTATTTTGGTTCCAAGGTCAGACAATATACGAGAAGTCGAACGTAAAAACAATAAATAATAGTAAATAAAGAGATAAAATTGCGACAAAATTTGTCATTATTTGAAACAAAATCTTTATCAGGCATAATTTCTTGCAATCTGTATCATAGATATAAAATAAAGGACCAAAAATCTGATTACCGACATTCATTTTTTTACTTCGAAAATCCTGAATTTGTACATTACTTCTGCACTTGTATACATTTATTTTTGAAATAGTGTATAGGATTCGTACAATACACAAAATTGTTCTCGAGCAAGCATGCTCGCAAGCACTGTCCGCTAATATTGTGACAAAATTCAGCGTAGTGTTTTGAAAATAGGCAGTTCACAAAACGTGTATAGGGCCGGGTATACTTCACGCGATTTCAGTCGTGACGCGATTTGGCAATTCGCCAGAAGTCTTCAGATCCAACGCTAGCAAGCTCCACATGCATACTGTGTTTGAATTATGTGGGTTGATGAAATGCCCCATCTTCTGTACATTTAAAATATGCTTACAATGAGTTATGGACAGTTGGAATATCGCCAAATCGCCGCGACTGAAATCGTGTGAAGTATTCCCGGCTTTTATGAAAAAAATACCTACTATTGGTTCGATTTCATTCCTTTGCAGTTCCTCTATCAAATCGCGGTAATATTTTACTCCTTGTTCATTGATTTTGTCAATTGTTCCATTTGGAAGCAATCTTGTCCAGCAAATTGAAAAGCGATAATGCGTCACCTGCAAATGATAATCGACTTTACATGTCGTATCTAATTATAAAAAATTGTTAGCTCATTTCAAAAATCTTCCAATAGCGGGAAACCGCGGCGGGTCCCGAAGCGAACGCTCTTGCCAATAGCACCTTTGGACTACTGGTTCACCACTAGTTCTCATAAAAAATGAAACGCTTTGTGAATAAATCACATCAATCCCTTTCTTCAACACAATCTCTTAGCCTAAGGTAATTCAAAGAAATTTTCCTTGCAAATCGCGCCCGATATTTTATAGTACGTTCTACTTGTCAATTGGCTAATGTCAGTGAAAGTCGAGTGAAATCTGAAAACAAACCTTACATGCAAATCCTTCAGCAATTTCACATCTTCTTTGTAGTGATGATAAGCATCACAACTTTGAGAAGGTGATGAATTATCAGCAATTCTTCCTGGTTGTTTACGTATCACATCCCACGTGGACACTCCACGTCCTAAACCTTCAATATTACGTATTTGACCCAATTGTAACTGCTCAACTTATAACGTATAACTTTCATTTTTGGCTCACAAAATACTGTTTATTGAATGTCAACAGAAGATCAGTCGGTCGGCGTTTTTCACTTCTCTCTCTTAAAGTGAAAAGATCTTATTCTTATTTGACGGGCACTGGTTATGCAACAATTATTTATAATTTTTTTCAATATATCAAGCCAAGAATCTTTAGTTGAAGCTATAGCAGAAAAACTACTGCTCATCCGTTACAAGCTTGCTTAACTCAAATCAACAGCATATTCTTTCTCTTTTACCGTCATCCTTCAAGCCTGCTTTTGAAAAAACTCCAATTTTTACAGGCGAAAATATATAACTCCAACACACGTTTTCATTCAATCGATCTAAAAATAACAAAAACGATTTTTCCTTCAAGCTAAATAGCTTACAATTTCAGGTGGAACGAGTGAAAGTTGAATTACTACGCATGTGCTTGCATTACAAATTAGTCTTAATTGTGCAGAAATACATAAACATAAAAACGAACTCAAGAAAAACTTAGTTAGAATCCTTACCGTCCACATCGTTTGCTCCTTCCACCTGATAGGCAGCTGTGGCAGTTGCCCAAATGAAATCCTTTGGAAAACTCGGATTTGTACTCATTCCATTCATTACAATTTGTAACGCAGTTGATCAATAGAGGTAAACGGGAACCAGTTGTTGTATGCTTGCAGTAATAGAGACCGATTTGTACAAACAACAGCAGTAAAGTAAACAAAGAACAGCGTTATCAGTAAAGTGATATGGGTCTCCGAATTGCACAAAAAAGCGATCTGCAACAAAAGGTCAAGTGGTTAGCAGATCATTATGGAGTGTGTCGGGAAGAGCAGGGGCATCGCCTCCCCCCTTTAATGGGCTAGAAAATGTTATACTGAAAAGTTAGTAGTAAGGGTGCCGTGGTTAATCGCGCATATTATTCGCACATATTAAGTTACAAATGACTCGAGGATAAGTGAACATATCGATGAAGAAAGGTTCAGCGGTTAGCCGCAAGAGATAGCCAAGAACAATCTTCGCATCTTTGTGATAGAACAAAATTCCCCCCCCCCCCCATCGGTTCACGCAAGAGTCTATAAGTAATATAAAGATCGGTTCATGCTTATGTGAACACCTCATATTTGCCGTTTCTCGGTACTTTTTGAAAGAAAACATTGTGATCATGTAAAAAAGCGTAGCCAAAAACAGTATACACTGCACAAAAGTGAAATTCGGTGTCAATTATGGAAAAGCATTGTGCGCCGAACACTTATACCGGTTCATTATTACATGAAGACCTCAATCAGAGATTTTTTGATGCTGCAACCTTTTACATTCAAAATCTCATGTAAGGCTACGACCTTGAAGTGTGAGATACCTAGTATGCACTGAACTAGATAAAGTATGGAAAGGGGAGCTTTGCCATATTTTGATAGATCGAAATGGCTGCAGCCGAGTCGGCACTAAAAATGCCGGCTTTACTGAGATTTCAAAAATTATTCAGCTCAAACGATCAAGAAATGAAGAGCCAATAAATGTGCGGACCAACGCTTAGAAATATTGATGTAATCGTCCCACTTACCAACTCAGTCCGAAGCTCACTGGGGTTGGCACACTTTTGAGACTTAAAACTCGACCTCTGCCTTCGCAAAAGTTCGATGACGAGGCAAATGCACGTTTCTATGTATAGGGCCTGCATGGTCGCTTCGTCCGATGTCCGTCCCACGACTCAGGTAAGTGCCTGACTTACGCTGTTCAACATGTTCATTCGGTTCACCCCCTCTGCCATTGTTCAGCGCATTGATTTGACCAATAGCGAATGACTGAACCGGAGGAATCGGTCAAACAGGATAAGTCTGGCATCTGCCTCAGTGACATCGGACGGCAAAGCCATGCAGGCCCCTATAACATAACTGGCTAGGGTTTTTGAAGTCTCCGCAAAAGCTATTCATGGTTTCGCAGCCGGAAAGCAAGAAGATGTATCGTTGAGTCGTTTGTAACTTAATATGCTGTGCACACTCTACACGCTAACTGACGAACTACAAAACTAGAACATGCTCATTTCCTGTAATTCCTCCTTCTTTCCTTATTTCTCTTGTTTTTATTGGTTACATGTTGGTCAGTAGAACACATTTTTACACTTTGTTAGGTTAGAAAATGTTTTACTGGGTTAGAAAATGTTTTACTGTTTTACTGTTTTACTTGATGTTTTACTCACATATAAAGTTACAAATGACTCGAGGTTATGCTTGCGTTGAGTTGCTTATTCATTTCCATTGAATGTCGAGTGCGTGGTGGAAACAAAGTGCTCTACGTTTGAATTCTTCATACAAAATACAAGTTCTTGTACACTATACAAGAACTGAGTCCGTGATATGCTTACAGAATCAACTTTGCGAATGGCAGAGGTCGAGTTTTGAGCCTCAAAAGTGTGCCAACTCCATGGTGAGTTTGGGACTGAGTTAGCAACTGGGATGATTACATCAATATTTTTTGAGCATTAGACCGCACATTTATTGGTTTCTCATTCGTTAACCGTTTAAGTCAAAAGGTTCAAAATCCCAGTAAGGGTGCCTTCATACCGCGTCGGCGGCCGCCGCTCGCAGCCCGTAGCAGCCGCCAGCAGCCCGTAGCAGCCGCCAGCAGCCGCCAGCAGGCCGTAGCAGCCCGTAGCCGCCGCTGGCCGCTTTTGTTATAGAGGCGCAAAATCATCAGAATCATCAGATTTTACTATTTTGAGTGCTCCTTCCTACGCTCATCTTCCACGCTTTTTCTTCTGTTGCCGCCAGTGTGTAGTTCGATCTTACATATTACATTTGTGTTCATTGTTATGCTGCCGCAAATTACATCCTATGGTGCCCAAATTTCACTTTTGCAATCCGTCTTGTCTAAAGCGAATGTGAGCCATTGTCAAAGCCAAGAGAACCCACCCTCAAATCAATTCGGCGAACTTGCGAAATAGACAATGCAATTCAGATATGCAGCGATAGCCAAGAAGAAGATTGAAACAAAAACATACTCAAAAAGTAAACAAATGGCCACCTGCAGAGTGGACGCATCCAAAGTCAGAAGGACTCACACCGGAAAGAAACTTTTGCGAACTATGATTCAACAGGATGACCGTGGGGCGACATTGTAATGAAATGACACAAATATGATTTGTGAGATCGAACTACCCACTGGCGACAACAGAAGAATAGGTAGGAGCACACAAAATAGTTTTCTGATAATTCTGCGCTTCTATAACAAAAGCGGCCAGCGACGGCTACGGGCTGCTGCGGGCTACTGGCGGCTGCTGGCGGCTGCTACGGGCTGCTGGCGGCTGCTACGGGCTGCTACGGGCTGCTGTCGGCTGCTACGGGCTGCTAGCGGCGGCTGCCGGCGCGGTATGAAGGCACCCTAAAGCAGGCATTCTTGGGACCGACTTGGTCCGCAGCCATCTCGTGATATTGAAGTAGAGTAAAGCTCCCCTTTTCAAAGTCTATCAGGTTCAGTGCGCAGTATATATCTCAGACTTTTCATAACTTCACATGAGATTAAAGGTTTAGGCATCGAACGAAAAAGATCTCTGATTGAGATGTTCGTGTAATTATGAACCGGTCGTAAAAGGATTCGGCGCACAATGCTTTTCCAAAAATAACACCGAATTTCACTTTTGTGCCGTATATACTGTCTTCGGCTACGTTCTTTCACATGGTACTAATGGTTTCTTGTAATACTTTCAAAAAGTCCGGGAAACGGCAAAATATGAGATGTTCGTATCTTATAAACCAATGTTACATTTACAAAGCAAATCAACTTCCTGCTTCCTCCATGTAGATCATTTCGAATAACCTCTCTTTTTTTCCTTAAACAAGTTCCAGCGGAAATAGTAGCAATCTAATCTTGACCTCTTTCCAACGATATACCTATTACTGCACCTGCTCCGATATCAGATTTTTTTTAAAGAATGGTTGCAATTCTCATAAGCTACACAGTGCCAAAATTTTTGTGCGCCAAACTCAAAGTAGGAAAGCTTTGGAAAAGTGCAAAACATAGCCTTCAATCTAAACTGTAAACTTTGAGGCTTCATCATTCTCATTTCCCGATTGAGCTTGCGACAACTGTATAAACAATAGCTTTATTCCTTGTTTATTACAAAGAACAAAGACAGACGATTGTGACGCATTTTCTAAAATGAACGAATTGTTTTTGTTATCATTACGATTTAGCCATCCTGTTGCTTCCTTCAAAATGCGTAATGGGACATGATGTATTTGGCTGAAAAGATCTGATGAAAGTATTGTGTTCGCTGATTTTAGTAAAACCAACGTCCGCTTTCTGCCGCGGGTAGCAACGTAGGGCCAACTGCTGTTATCGCGGTGTCTTCCTTCCTAAAAAGACATGGAATGTCAATGAATGTGCGAACTTAAGTATTAGAATCGAAGAGTACTGACAAGACACTTTTGAGACTTTCTAACAATTTATTACACTTTATTTTCTTACCTTTTAGCTAACTCTTTCGTTTTCATTGCTTGTACCTGAATACAAATTTGTACACTTTTAGAGCATGCAACTACCGCAAATTTGTTGCGCATGGCGAAACGTGACAAAGTATAAAACAATAAAATAGCTCAAATCGGGTTAATTTATGCTAACCTCAAGTCTTTGACTATTTGTGACGCTTCTAGACTGATTTACAGCATCTGAAGTTCTTGTCTGCACGCTTCTAAAAACATTTCTACAAAGATAAATAAGTGAAAACGATATGGAGTCAGAGCTTAATGAATGAAACAGGCAAAGTTCTTGAATGTGTGAAGAAAAATCTTGATGTGTCTCTAACGAGTAATTCATCTCGAATGGGTTTAAAGGATAGTTTCACAAGTTTAGGTGAAATGCTAATTTAAGTTAACACTGTTAACATTAGTTGCTAATTTTTGAACGCCTTCATTTATAAAAGCACATACGTTTTATTGAAAATATCGTCTGGATAATTTCTAAGTTCATCGAGCTCACTTTGGCTGTACTGTGAGCGACGTTCGCGGTTTGATGGGTGTCTAAAGTAAAACAAAAACGTTGGGCTTAACAAGTTCAAAATGAAAATAGGCAATTCTAGTGATTTCATCGTTAGATGTGTTGGTGCATTTTATAGCAGTGAAAGCGGTGAGAAGAAAAGAAAGGTTTTTTAGAACTACAATACGCTCACAGAAGTGCAAAATTTCCGTGAATGTCGCAGAATTCCAGGAATTCCGCGAAGGTTCGCGAACTGGAATTCCGCGAAATTCCCGAAATTTCGCGAACCTTTCACGGAAATTTTGCACATTCTGTGAGCGGTATTGTAGATAACCGCTTATAACGTGCCGTAGTACCGCAGTACCTTGGACTTAATGCTGGAGTAGCCATTTTGGCATATTCTCCGAAAATATGGGTTGGTTTGAGAAGATAAAGTCCTCCTGGCTTTGGAATGCCATCTCTGAAGCACTTTGATTAGCTAACAACTCTTATCGTAAGTACATTGTTACCCTTCCAAGCGCACTGGTCTGGCATTATTGCCTTCCGAACGTGCGGAAGTCTCCAGCGCAGGTTGTTGGGCATTGGATCTAAATCGAAACTCGCATACATGTTATTCCACATCATCGGCCAAAATGTGTTACCCGAAAACCCTATCTGTCGGCGGTAAATTCGCCAGCTCTTGCGCCAAAGTATCCGTTGCTGATATTGGCCTAAAATCCTGCATCTTATTTGCGGTTGACTCGGCTATCAGCAGAGTTGCAAACACGCATGTCTTTTCTCAAACAGCGCAACATCGCCGCTTTATCGTCTCCTTTTTTAATCATGAACTGTTACTGATGAAGAGAACAGCGTTGAATTCTGCGCATAGTAGGGACACCTCATGCAGCTAAGTCACTCCAGATTACAGATATGTGCTCATTACTTCAAGCCAGTCAACTGTAATGCAAAGAATACGTATGTTTTTATACAGATTTTATGCGATCATAACGCATGCCTTGTTGTATACAAACTACCTTTGCAAATTCTTCCATTACTTTGCTCTCTTTATTTGACGCACTCAAAGGTGAGATCCCAGAATGTGAACCTATACTAATCCAACAAAAAGCCCTTACATGCAACTTATCGTTTTCGTAATCAGCATGTCAAATAAAACCCTATGTCAAGTTTCAGCTAAATCTGTAAGTATTATTCCCCTATACCGTACCCTTAGCGTAAACCTCACTATGACGTCAGAATTTACAGCTGCACTTGTATACGTCATAGCCTGCATAGTGGCGAAATTTGGATGCACCTCACTGTAAGAAACGAAAATGTTGAAAAAGTTGTAAAACTTACTTTCTAACCTAATACCTGCTCCTTCCTGCCAAAATTTGGCAGTTTGGTATTTTGAGCCTGATTTCGAAAGTTTTGAAGTTTTCTGAATGTTGAGCAGAATGTCAATATGTGACAATAGGAAGAGACCGTGCTCGCATATGACGTTTGCCTTTTAAATACTTGAGTGAGATGTCAAAACGCTAGGACTTACAGATTTCGACGACTTGCACATATTAGCCTAAGCATGGTAGGAGGCGAGAAAAGTTCATGTACAAGACTTTCCTTTGATAAATTAGTGGCACACACTTACAATTTTGAATGATTATATGAAACAAGTAATATCAAAAAACTCGACCACACATTTTTTGCAAGGCTCAACTGCTCGTATTTTTTTTCTTAGGTTTTCAGAAACGGCAGTTTTATGAGAAGCGGTGATCGATGACGAGAGTTCTTGGCACTGCTTTTCCATGAGGGTGTTTCATCAAATGTTAGTTTTTCTGGTTGAAAAAATCTGCGCACCACTAGCTTGGGAAAGAGCGATGGCGCGCTATATTCATCATTTGTGGTGTTATCAGGTACTCTGTAATCTTACGTGTTGTCTTCACGTTGCTTTTAGATGACGATAGCTCTAGGTTTACAATCACTTATTTCTGTTCTCGTACTCAAACATGTCTGTGTAAATCAATTAACGTGAAAGATCTTGCACTGATTTGTCTAGACATATGATTGACGCTCTTCCGTATCAAGCAGAAAAATTACAAGAGAAATAATTTCAGAGAAGAAATGCTGTTATCAACTAAGTACCACACAATCATACTTCCTATTCCTTCACTGTTCAAATATTTAATAGCAGATGAATATGTAGATAATTTGCTTCAGGCTACATGAAATGCCCTATATATCTTGTAATGTAATTGTAACTGTCTTGTGATTTTGCTAATGGTAGGTTACGCATAGATTATGGCAAAGTACGCCTCCTTACACGGTGTGGCTTGGCAAAGTAAGAGGTGTCGAGCTTTGTAGCGGTGTAATGATAGATACGTAAGCCATAAATGAAGTACGAACAAGGAGGTCTAGAAAATTTAGAACTTGCTTCAAAAGAGGTGCGGCCTCCACTTTCGGTACGGATGCCGCCCAACCACGGATTAAGCCGCGAAGTACAGTGCGCATATCGCACACAGACATTATCAAGTGTTCCACGCCGACCGTACGTCTCCAAACTGCTTGAATACATTGACTACAACGCAAATTTTTGATTGTCTGCTTCTTAGGACCAAGACCTTTCACGGACCAGTCAGCATTTCTTAGATAAAATCACGCATACTGCCGTACTGTTGAAAACGCTATTCAAAATTGCGAGCTTAGGCTTTGTTCATAAAGTCCGGGAACAGTTCCACACAGCGCTCAATTCGAGCATTGTGCTGGAACTGTTCCCGGACTTCAGTGTCAGTATGAACGCAGCCTTAGGAAAGCCCTTTCTTGAGATTATGGTGCTCTCCAAGTCATGTTTTTGAAATCGCGAGACGCATAAGCTAGGTAAGGAAAAATTCGAGTCAAGGTTTTGCAGAAGCGCTGCTTTCAAAAAGGTGCCAATGTTGAAGGGTAAAAGTTGGGGAAAGGATTTTTGACGTTTTTTCTTCAAAACTATTGTCAAAGCACTCATAATTCCCTTCCAAGTCCTCTTCGAATAACAACTCAGAATTTGACCTTTAAGTTTTCCTTTCGCTGATAAAAAGTTAGTGGATACCAATTTTGTAAGGTGCTTTGGTAACGTTTTGCGCTGTTGAAGCTTCGCTGGAAAAGCTTTTCACAAGATTCTAACACGGGTACTTACCACTCATTGCTATCACTCAGCGAGTCATCAGCATCTTTATATTCTGGTGTACTTCGTCGAGGTGTGGACGGTTGCGAGTAGGATGGTAAGTCTCTGGCCTGAAACACACCTTATTATGTTTTGTAGTATATATTGATGTTAGAAGTACTAACGCTACACTTGGAACTGGAAAGTTGTCGACTTTTTTCGTGTAGTATGATTGGCGTAAAGTTGGCCCCAGCTAGAGAAGTGGCATTTGATGTCGAAGTAATACCATCAGCGTCAACTCTAAATAAGCTCTAGTCAAGGCTCAAATTGTTTCCTTTGAATTGTTCCTTGAGCGCAAAAGTGTTAGCATCGACTTGATCTTTTCCTTCGCTATAAAACTTATCAGAAATTGATCAAATAACATGATTTGCTTACTCACTTTTCTAAAACCATTTCGGCGTCACGAAGATGTTTATCTCTGTCCATATTGATAGCTATAACTCCCGATTTATCGACTGACACCGTCACAAGTTTCCGCGTTGATGGATTAAGAAGAAGCTTGATAAACTTCATAATGCCAAGCTCTCAAACAAGGTAAGAAGATAAGTAGCATTACCGCTCTCAATGTCCTCTGGAAAGCGCTGAGCTCTCTAATGTTCATATCATCAATAGTAATACTTGATGTGATGAGTTCAAGGTGACGTATATTATGTGAGTAACGCAACCTGGAAAGTATGGTGTGAGTGTCAAAAGACAAGATAAGGTTATTCTGTTTCTTTCATCACCGTGATTTACCATGATAGAGCTGTATTAATAAGAGCAATTTTTATCTGAGTGCTCACTGAAGCAAGAACCAACATTCTTACAGCCCAAGGCTTAAGTGACTAAAGACAGCATTTGTTTGAACCTTCAAGTGGTTATGTGAGTTCAGCACCCACCTTTATTTCATCCGAGGATAATGTCAAATGTTTTTCATGGAGTTCGCGTAGGATACACGTGATTGTTTCGGAAGAGACCTGACAAGAACTAAGACTGAATTTCTGAGCTTCCGTTTACTGCTCAACTGCCTTGCATGTGTCTTATTTTACTATAACTATTCACTAACTCCTGTCTTAGGATGTGTTGCTATGTTCAAAGCCTCAATCCGCGAACTTTGCTGAACAGCCATACTTTTCAGGGTATTTTCGAGAAGGTGATGTAAGAAAATAGTGCCAAAATAGTTGGTGACGCTCATTTGATCTTCCATGCGTTCCGCAGATATCGCTATCTAAATAAGTGCGATTTCAGTGTAATAACACTACGGAAATTCCGATTATTAGTAATTAGAAGCATCCTCCGGCTTTATTACAAACCAACCACAAATACCATGACTATCATAATTTATTATAACGGGCTAAGGGTTGTTTACGTTTTTTTTTTGTGTGTGTGTGTGTGTGTGTGTGTGTGTGTGTGTGTGTCTGTCTGTCCGTTACGAAATTCGTAGGGAGAGTTCCAGCCAACCTCTTGAGCCCAAATTTTGCATAGCACATCCTAGCAGCAAGAAAGTCCATTGTGCAAAAGCACAGGCGGATCCGTTAAATGGATCCGCTAGAAATTGCGCGTGAAACGGGTTCACTTAACTTCTGATCAGTAAATTTGGGTCCGTATATAAACTTTTTGCAAAGTCGCGGATATGTTTGACAATCTAATGTACAAGCCATGGACTTTAGCCCAAAAAATTCAATTAGAGTTCGTTACTTTACGAAGATGGCGCCAAAAAGTATTAGTTGCGTAAATGTTCAATTTTCCAAGATTTTACGTGATCATTTGAGAAAATTTTTGCCCAGAGATGTAGCCCAGGACGACTATTGCCGTTATGGCAACTATCAAGCCATAAAAACTCCACAAACTTGTTCAAATTCGCATTTATTCTTCTGAGAAAAGTTTTATCCACGTAAAAATACCGATTTTACACAAAAAGCTCTAGGAATGAGTAGCTGTTTACAAATCATCGTGATAGCCTGCATAGCGCGGTGAATTTCAATGTCACTATCATGCAGGAATGAGTAAGGCACGCAGAAAGTAGGACCAGTGCGAGCCTCTGCGAAGCAGAGGTAACGCACTGGTGACTAATAATAGCCAAGACAATTTACTCCTTTTCCAACAACAAACTTCTGTTTCATCAGCGGTAATTTGAAAATCAAGATTAAGGGCAATTCCTAATCTGCGCTTAGAAAAAGGGTCATTATGCCCACTCACACAAATTCTGGGGTACACCTATCTGCATGAACCCGCAGAATCCATTCCACCATATAGCGTCTCCAACACGTAGGATAATGTTTGTCTGTGAGTTGTTTCTTTGCCTTTGGTCTTTCTAAATCCACTGATTGAATTATAAGTGATACGATCTCGAAATCACCCTCGCACCCTCAATCTGAACAGACGAAAGCTTGACAGTGTAGAAACATACGGGTACACCCATTTTTGAATTGGATTTGTATAGTACGATAAAGGACGGAGAATTTAGCGACCTACGCATCATCTCATACATCGTAACATCTCTCCGTACGGAAAAGAATGTCTCGTCTTCGTGACTCACCAACACCCGGGGATATGAACCATGTTATATATGTTGTAATCGAGCATCAATCATCTTCGAATTCGCCGCAGCTTGCAGCTTGGCACCATTAAATGCTCTTCGAAATTAAAATGCAGTCTTATCGAGAAGCTTATTTTGGCTGAGGTACCGAAGTTTTTTCTAAACCGAAGCGAGCTTGGGTTCTTGAAGGAAAGCAACGTTATCATTCACGATGAAGATTGTATACCAAGGGTAATTCTTGGCTACCAGTTATTTCCGAAAACTCATAACCAAGAATTATGAGTGTACGTCAAGTTCTGTGCTTGATCCTGCTTCGAACCGAAGCTTACTGATTGAAAGCATGCTTTACAGATAAGACATATTTTTGCCGTTCACAGTTTGAGGAGCATAAACATAATTTGGTTCAATCGACGGAGCTTGCAGGAACTCCATGGTGTAAACAAATGCCGCTTAACCACAGCACTCTTATTACCATGCGCTAGTTGTGCTATGTGGCGTCATAAAACCTTGCACTGCAGAGTGGACTATTGGCAGTACGAGTGGCAGATTCTCACACCTTTATATCTTTGTTATCGCTGACATTGAACCTGCCCGCTGTAACTTTCTGTGGTATCTACATGCTGTATCTCTTGATTGGAAAAGCCGTCAACGAAAAAGAGTTGTCCTTTCAAAACGAGAATTCATTGTTGAGCCGACACAGGGGGCATTGAGGATGAGCAATAAATATTCTCCTTAGCAGACATGCAACATAAGCCTAGTTTTGGGTTTCGAATGTGAAGAGTTATTACTTGCATATTTGAGACAAATGCAGTAAGTCCAAGAACATCGACGCGCTTTTGCGACTATTTAAGGGAGCTCCAGCTGGTGCCGAACCCTGGGCTACATATATTTTGATTCCGCCAAAATATCCCTTGGTTAAAAGTCGTAAATTCCTTCTCTCCAGCGTGCTCATTCTTGAATTTGTATGCTCATGAAACGCCTGACACTTATGGTGCACCTGTGCCTTCGTGGTGTAGGTGACAAAGATGGCCAGGATCACAGGATCATTTTACTCCAGAGCACCGTTTAGGCACTTGTCCCCGCTACTGTACGAAACGGACGACTTGCATCGGCTTGCATGCTCTTGAACGTTGGGAGCGGTGAGTCCCCGCGCAATATCCTGCAAGCCGATACAAGTAGTCCGCCAGATACGGTAAGGTCCTGTATGGCGCAAATGTCTTAGCCGCTACTGCATCATCTGTGCCTGGACACTGTTTAGGCTCCTAAAATCAGTTAGTGTTTACGATCTCCATGGGCCAGATTAGCCTGAATGCTACCTTAGCTCTACCTTTGAGCTCGCTGCGAAGGCATTTCATTTTTCATTACCATATTTGGCGCACTACTTGCATAGGGCTGTAGATTTTTGTGCGGTAACCCATCGACAGGGCAGCGAGTAGTAAGCAATAGCATGCAGCCACTGACAATGCAAGGCTTCAGCTGAATACAATGAGGGGGGTCTGGTTTGCGGATGAATAATAACCATGATATGAATGTCAAACCAAGTGCGCCACAACGCTGCTGCTTGGGCAGTGTCTAAAGTTTCAGAATCACTTTCGCTTACGACCCTCAAATGGTCAGAGTTGCCCAAACGTTGCCATTGAAAGTATACGTCTTCGTAATTGGAAGCAAGCAACAAGTAAAAGAACAGTGCTACATCACATAAAATTCTGTGCACATTGACTGGAGGAAGACCATGCTAACCGCGTTGTATTTGCCTCAAGTAAGCTTACCTCTGAATATTCCAAGTGTAACAGATTGGCGAATAAACAAAAATCAAATTTTTTGAGCTGCACTTACATGGCCAGTGTACATCCACTCAACTAATCTTCTCACAGATTCAGGGTGAAATCCTCGCACATCGATACGTAAAGGTACATCCCGGAATTCAAGTAGCTAAAACATAGTTTTTTTAAGTGTTTTCTTAGTCGATGTTGATGGCTCAAAAGAGTGAGAGTGTATGCAAAGCGAAGATTTTTTGTACTGACTAGCTATTCCTGCTGTTTCGTTTCTTTATAACCACCATGCTTCAGCTTGGAAATGTATGACTACGGCTTAAGGTAGGCACTATACTTCACTGGGCGGTATAGTACCCTCGTCGCAAAGCAACATTCGCTATCACCAATCGTTGACGTTGGCGATCGTCAGCTCAATATAGGTATATATATATATATATATATATATATACCTCAGGTAACTGATCGTCAATGTTCTGGCATGTTTTAAGTTTTCTGATCCATAAGTAAGTATGTAATCTCCAATTGCGCTTGAAATTAGAATAGCGAAATTTATTAGCTAAAGTTTGTACATAATAAAAGCTGTCGCGGCTTTGCGATGCAAGTGCTCCTAGAAGTAGAAGGCCGGGAGCACTGGTTGCTGTCGCGCTATCCGGCGACGATATATAGAATATTAGAATAGAATATTGAGATCTTAGCTTTGGGAGCGGAGAGACTGTCGCGCATGTTATCCGGCGACGCATGGCGGATCTGTATTGGTGAAGCCTTGGGATCATTGCTATTATTAAAGGTTTAAGTAAACGCTCACCATCGGTAGCACGGGATGGAGCACCCTGTCCCATGTTGTTGTCACTTTAGTAGTTTAGTTACAGTAGTTTTTAGCATTGTAGTTTTCTTGTAGTTTTCTTGTAATTTGATGTCATTAGGATAAATTGTAAGTAATTCTATAGCTTTTCTTCTCATTAGGTAAAGTGGTAGGCTAGGTTGCGTCGTCTGTAACACGCGGGCGAGCGCAAAGATAACTCGAGTAAATCTGGGTGCTTACTAGGGCCCATCGAGCCGCCGCAAAAGCCATAGGTTTGGAGCCCTGACGGTTATATGAAGATGGACTAAAACTATCTACGAGTTTTTGTTCAAGGTTTAATTGGCTAAGTATGCACACTCTTCACTAGTCGGCCTATTATTAAGATGCTAGCTGGCTTACTCGGCTTCGCGGCACTGCACCCTAAGGTAAAAGTCCCATCTCTACCCCTGTACAACAATTCCCTGTGCTCACTTTACATGCCAATTCCCTATTCCGCTTTGTTAGTAATCAGCATGCCCACCTACCCCCCGTGCCAACTCCCAGCACCGTATCTCAAACTTTGCAAAAAAATCGATAAAATCATCAATGTCGAAAAGTAGCCTATGACACCCTCCCCGCCCCGAAGTGTATTTGTGTAAAGTTTCTTCGGGATCGGTTTAGAAATAAAATTTTCTATTCGGGACATACGTACATACAGACAGAGAGGCAGACATGCAGACATATAGACAAACAGCCAGCTTTATATATAAGGTAGGGCGCACGCCGTATACTCCGCGCATTCTGGCCCAATCCTTCACTCCTCTGGTAACCTCCGGCTACCAACCGCCTTTTCTCTGAAGTCATTTTTATTTCTTCAAAGTTAAAAATGTGTCATGGTTTTACTGATTCAATCGAACAGTGCTAAGCATGGTTATGATGAGAACAAGTTATGTATTAAAGTCAATTTTGCGATGAACCACAAGTTGAAAATTGGATTTATCGAAAACTAGCTGCTTTCCCGGTCCAGCCTGGGTCACCGTTTGGGAGGACGGCCAAACCACACTTTGTCTCTCCTCTCTTCTTTTTTCGGTTCGGTCATACCCTTTTTGGCAGTCTCGATAATGCACTGAAGGCCCCTCCCCCTTACCCTCCTGCCTGAGCTTACCTCAGAGTGACTGATTGGAGTAACTGCATCTTCTACACTTCAGGTCGAAAATGAACTTTACTGCTTTGCCTACACCAAAAAGTGCATGGGGTTTAATGGTGGCTGATAAGCCTCATTTTCATTGCAAATTATTCATTGCAAAAATCAGTAAATTAATAGAAGGATCCAGCGAATCGCTCCAAAAAGTAGTCTAAAACCATCTACGGGTTCGAAAACATATGTGTGCAAAGTTTCATCTCAATCGGTTCACGAAGGAGTCTATTAAAAGCATACGGTCAAGATTTGCACAAACTTTGACTTTCATATACAGGGTTGGGGGAAAGTCTTTAAACACGGTATTTTAGTCGTAGTCACGTTAGGCAATATATTTACATGAAATAAATATATAATGTTTAGCAATCAGGCTACTATATAAAAGCAACCTTTACATTTCAGAGATCCCTCCTTTGGCGCAAACACAGGCTCGAAGACGCTTGGGAAAGCTGTCCACGATGGCGCGGAGGTACTCCACATCGATTTCCACCCACGCATTCTGAAGAGCACGTCGCAGTGACTCCACAGTTTTGCGTGAGTGAGCGCAGGCTTTGGCTAAAAAAGTGACCACTTACGATAGTCAAAGGTATTTAGATCCGTTAATACGGAGGCCATTCCGCAGGAGTAATGAAATCCTTAAGGCTGCTTTGGAGCCATGCTTGAACAACCTTCACTTAGTGCGCAGGGCGTTATCCTGTGTGAGCACCAATCGTTCCCGGCAATTGGATATTAGTCCAGGCCAACAATTCTTTCTTCAGGATGCTACTCACATGCGTGGCAGTGTCTATCTTGAGCACTGAGACCCTAAAAATCAGTGGCATTTTGTGTCGGAAGCGATCGCCGCGCAAATTGTCGCGAAAACCGGATGAAGCTTTCCTTCTGCAAGCCAACCCTTGCTATTGGCTACTTGAGGCGTTTAGGTGATGACTCTGTTGTTTTGGCGTTCGAAAACCTGCTGCACGGTGAAAATTTTGACGCCAGAACAGATTACATTTACTGGCATGCCTTGGAGAGACGTTCAGGCTTCGATGGCATCCGCGCAGTCAAATCAGCTTCGTATCTTCCCAAAAAGCATGAATTATTAACATCTTGAAAAGCTTCATCTCAAGGCCTTGTTCCAGGATGTCGGAGACTTTTTTATCAGAGATAAACAGCTTTGAACCCCTCAATCAAGCTTCTCCGAGGATTGCGACGATGGCGCTGGCGAACGATCTTCAGAATTTTGTGAGCGTCCGCAGTAGCCAATTTATCATCTTAAGCAGTTCTGGGTGCTGTTCATATCCTGGAGACGACGCAAGGTGGAAAAGACGCTGGTTTGTAAAGTTTGGGGAACCCGCGCAATCTGCCAACCATCCTCTCCTCGTGCATCTCTGCCATCAACCTCGCTCCGTTCTAAAAGGCATATCTCTGATAGAGATGAAGATAGTAACCCAGTTTCCACAGGGCTTGTAACTAAGGGTATAAGAAGCAAATAAATGCTACTGCATGGCTAAGGCGCAGAGGCGGGATCAGTTGAGCGGCGCGCGCGTATCTTCACCGTTATAAAACCTGCGTCTCATGCGCTCTGCGGTTAATAAAGCCGGTTTAGCGCCCAAAGGTATTGCGCCTTCGTCATGCCCTTACATATAATTTGCTAATGTGGAAGAATTTGTGGAATTATGTGGAAAATCCGAACATACGTGACATCAAAAATTGTCCGAAGACTTTCCCCCAACCCTGTATATACAGGGTAGGGCAAAAGTCTGGGAGCCTAGTAATTTTTCAGATAAAATTAGAAGAAAGTTCCTAGAAATAGAAAATTTGGTGCACACATAGACCGAAACTTTACAAATATAGCGCAGCTCTCAAATTTCAAGATTGCCTCTTTTGGTTTCAAAGCAGCCCTTCATAATCCTGGCAAAATGAAATTTGTGCCATGCCTTCATAATAACTGTTTCTTTCACTAGACAAATGTGCAGTATGATAGAGCAGGCTTTTGGCTATAACATATTTTACGAAGAATTTTTTTTGCGAAATTTAGGAAAAAATTTTGGAATTTCAAGTGAAGGCAATGTATTCGCATTCTGGAAATTTGGATGCGATTGCTCGAACGGGAGCGAAAAATTTCAATTTAAAAGGAATTGAAATTACTCCATCGATCAAATTCAGATAGATGCTTTTACAGAAGACTTATGGAAAGAATATAGCCCAATACTCGGCACCTGCTGCGCTCCTATAGCTTTAGAATTTTAATTTAGAGACAAATGCCCACTGGCACGCAGGTAATATTCGCAAATTTTTATTTTGCGTTTTTGAAAGAATAGTTCGTAAACGCAACTACTGCGTTGTGATAGCGCAAAGCCTCCTCTAATCGTATGCATCAGTTGTAGAATGTACGGATTATCTTTGGCTACGAAATAAGCTGTGAATACTAAAAAATTTGATCGTTTCGCTCTGCAGAAGCACTTGCTTGAAACCAGTTCTTACAAATAAGTATGGCAAGCATTTTCAGCTATGTAAAGTGGGATTTGTAGAGGATCATCGCAATATTATGTGGCACAAGTCTGGAATTAAAATCACCAGTAGTTTCATGATTTACAACCCAAAGCGGCTCCCAGACTTTTGCCTCACCCTGTATATAGATTTCGATATTTCAGCTCATGTATTCTCATCAGCAACAGGCTTATAATTTCGATATCTCAACTCATGTGTTCTTATCAGTAACAAGCTTATTTTTAGAACTGTTGCAGTAAAATTTCAGAATGTTATCATTAAATCCAAAGAAGAAATCGCATTGAAGAAGAGACGGTTGGCCGGGGGGGGGGGTCATGAGGGAGCCACATGGAAAGTTGGAAAACGAGCTTTTGAAAATGAAGCTTTTTCAAGCTACGATTTCCTCTGTGGCGGAATCTTAACGCGTGCAGCCACAAAAGTAAGCGGAGACCACTTCCAATTAGTTTTTTTTCGTAGGCGAGTAGAAGGATCAAATGATACTCTCCGAAATTGCTATCTAATAATGACAACAAAATCTGTTAGACTATACCTATGGATGGTTTTGAAAGGTACTGTAAAACTTTTGCAACTTTTAGTTTCTCTCTCTTGCTTTTGTCGCATGTATTATAATATTATTTTGATGATAGCCAAAAAGTTGCCATGTCCAGCAATTTGAACCCTCAAAAAATGTTCGGTATGAATCTGTAACGGGAACTAAGTCTTTGAGAAAAACTATTATAGTTACACAGAAGTGTCGCCATTGATTTCCAGCCATGTAGCGAATTCAGTGCGGTGTATATGCAGACGCTTAGGCTTTGGCCATACTTTGCCCGTTTTGCCGATGTTTCCAGTGTTGCCAGTGTTGAAAGTGTTGCCGGTGTTGAAAGTGTTGAAAGTGTTACCGTGTTGAAAGTGTTGCCAGTGTTGAAAGTGTTGAAGGTGTTGCCGGTGTTGAAAGTGTTGAACGGAGATCATCAGTCTAGCATATTCATTCTTTCTCGAACGATCTCACCGGCTGGTGAATATGTTGGAAATGGAATTGCTGAGAAATGAAACTGAAAGGAGATGGGGAATGTTTTCGCATGCAAAAGATCCTCAAACAAACTTTTTGGAAAGTGGACGGCTTGTCTAGAAGAGGCAATCTCTAATATTTGAAAACGCTGCAGACCTCACTTAGGTCCTTTACTCACTAATCGCAAGCGATGCAGGATTCGAACTAAAACAAATCACTACTCAGACGTCAGCTTTCTCAAATATTGGAGATTGCCTATTCCAGACAAGCCGTCCACTTTTCAAAAAGTTTGTTTGAGGATCTTTTGCATGCGAAAACATTCCCCATCTCATTTCAGTTTCATTTCTTATTCCCCAATTCCATTTCCAACGTATTCACCAGCTGGTGAGATCGTTCGAGAAAGAATGAAACTGCTAGACTGATGATCTCCGTTCAACACTTTCAACACTGGCAACACTTTCAACACTTTCAACACTGGCAACACTTTCAACACCGGTAACACTTTCAACACTTTCAACACCGGCAACACTTTCAACACTGGACACTGGAAACATCGGCAACACGGGCGAAGTATGGCCAAAGCCATAGCTCTAAAGTAGTCATCAAATGGGTTCATAATGAAAGCTACTGTTATCGCGTCATTGCGCCAATCTCGTATCTTAAAATTAATTAGAAGAAACACTGCTCGAAAACGGTTGTATAATTTTTCGGATGTAAAAAGGATTAAGCTGGACCACGGTCTTTGGCTGCTTGAATTCAACTGACAGAAGATTATTTGCAAAACTCTTCCCATGTTTGTAGCAACCAGGAAGTCCAGTATAGTTGGCCACTTTGTCCAAGAGATTGTATGCGTGAGTAGGCATCATGGAATCAACGGAACAACTATTAGATTTCATGAGATTTTATTGTTTTCCCGTAGCATGTGCAGCGAACACTTTTACTTGAACACTCTACCTTCGCAATCTTGGTGCAATGTGCAGCAGCTATAGCTGAGTGTACATTTTCACATCCATTATCTGTTACAAGTTCGATGTCGCAAAGCCTGGGATGAAAGAGATTTCGAATATAGATGTGTGATTGCGAGGCTATCACTCACCTGAAGTCACTGCTATCCCGCAGTTGTTTGAGGTAGTAAGCAGGTCGCTTGAAATGCGATGGAGAGTTTTCAGGCTTGTATACAATTTTTGATCTGTAACTGTATGTAACCACTTCTTTGCATATTTGAGGTGAAGAGAAATGCTTATTATCAGCGCACCTCAGTGCGCTCCGTCGACGGCGCACTTCTCCTTGCATCGATGGATATGCAGTCGTAGCAGTTTGAGCTCAAAATGAACCCATCTCATTGCCGAGCTATCAGAATGAGTCCTGTTATTAATGCCTCTTTAACAACAAGCATCATTCAGGTGTGAATGAATCAGTACGTGTTTGTACCATGGTGCTGACACACTCTACGCTATTGCAGCGAAAAAAATACACCTTTGGGGACTAAACTTTGGTTTCTGAAACGGAATGTTCCCAGGAGAGAAGGGCATCAATGCAAATTTTCGTCTATATTCCGCGTATGCTTTCTCTACTTAGGATTTCTGTGTGTTGAGCATCGCATTGGTACTTTTCCTTATTTTCTAATCATCATAAGCGAACGCTTCAAAATCTTACATATCCCTGCTAGGCTTCAAGCTAGGCAGTGCATCACTCATTCAAGTTTATATGTATTTCGATGCTAGAAAAATTTTGACAAAGTGGCGCAGGGATGATGGTTATGCGACAGTCTCACTTCAAATCAAAAGCCAAACATTCGATCTTCCTACCCAGGTTTATTTCCGTTTTCCCTATTTGTAGTGCATGAAACGAGACGCCACCTCGGATATAGCTTGATTCGCAAGACCGTAATGCTTTCCGCATAAGAACACAGCCGCACGAGACACACCTTACGGCAGCATTTGCTTAAGCCAACATATGTTGCTTTCATACTGATCTGAGAGTTCGGGAACAGTTCCAACACATTGCTCGAACTAAGCGCTGTGTGAAACTGTTCCCGAACTTGGGGAAATCAGTATGAACGCAACCATAGGGATAGGAATGATTTGCCGCTTGTGGCGTGTCAGGATAAATCATCGATATGGGCTGGAAACCGCGCGTGCAAATAGATTATCCACACCATCTCAATTGAAACGGCCCAACTTGGCACTTTTTCATGTGTTGAAAGCCAAATCATGCTCTCTTCAACAAAAAATTTGAAAAAAAACAATAGAGAACAAGTCCACAATCAAAACAATACAGTCATATAACTTCATGTAAAAAGCAAGGAGATTTTGGATCGGAGATATGGTTTCTTAATAATATTAATATTAAAATTATTTAACAATTATACAGGGTGTCCCAAAAAAATGTTTCGAACGTTTGATCGTTAATATCTCTCTTCCCAAGATGTCTTTTGCCTTGCTTCAGGTACCGTTTTGTAGAGCTGGCTTCAACTTAGATTTGCATTATAGAACGAATCACCCATCTCTCTTCATTACTGTAGGATTACGGTAGAAACTTGAAACATATGGTGTCAATATGGAAAAAGCTGCCTTTTCAAAAATTTTCAAAATAATGTGAAAACATGTGTAATAGAGTTTTTATGGACGCTGAGTTCAATGCTGAACTATTCACAAGATTACGAAGCTTTCTAAACGGTTTAATCGCACTTTTTAAAAACATTGAAAAAATGCCGCTACCTCTTACCTGGCATAACTCTTCAATGAAGCATCATAACAAGTTGCGAACTTTACAGTTGTAATCAGCAACTCTAATTAGCCTAGTGTGAAAGTTTTCAGGCTGTTTTGTTTCTTTTTTGAGGCAAAATATGGCCTTTCATGGCTCAAAACCCTCTTTGAAGTTTCTACCGTAATCCTACAGTAATGAAGAGAGATGGGTGATTCGTTTTATAATGCAAATCTAAGTTGAAGCCAGCTCTACAAAAGATACCTGAAGCAAGGCAAAAGACTTCTTGGGAAGAGGGATATTAACGATCAAACGTTCGAAACATTTTTTTGGGACACCCTGCATTATATTATTATATTTATAATATATATAAAGCTGAATGTCTGTTTGTATGTATGTATGTATGTCTGTATGTACGTATGCTCCGAATAGAAAATTCCATTTCTGAACCGATCCGGAACAAACTTGGCACACATACACTTCAGGCCCCGACGGGTGTCATAGGCCACTTTTCGTCGTCGATTGATATCGATTTTATCGATTTTTATCGATTTTGTTTGCAGAGTTCACGTACGGGGCTGGGAGTTGGCAAGGGGGTAAGTGGGCATGGCGATTCCGAATACATAATAGTTTTTGGAATCATATGCTACTTTTATTGATTTTATCGATTTTTGCAAAGTTTGAGCTACGGGGCTGGGAGTTGGCACAGGGGGGTAAGTGGGCATGCTGATTTCGAAAACAACACAGGGAACGGGAAATGAAGTGTAGAAGTGGGCACAGGGAAAGGCTGTGCAGGGATAGGGATGGAACCTTTATTACAGTGTTTTGACAGGCCCGAGCGGAGCCGGGTAAGCAAGCTGGTAATAGATATAATTTCTTAATAACTTCTTGATTTTGGAGCACTACCTTTCAACTGCTTGGAGATGCGAAGAACTTTCGGCAAATATTAGGTTATCCCAAAAGTTTTGTCCGTTTTTTTTTCATCACTCGCGAAAACTCACAAAACAACTATCCATGGACGACTTAGGTACCATTTGATATAAATTTTTGTCCTCTTCCTTACGCCGCTATATTTGCTTTTTGATTTACCCTGTCTTGGCAACGTTATCGCCATGGCTTTTTGAGCAGCCCAGCAATAACGCCAAATATTTCCTGAATTTTAAATTTTTTATCCTGACGTTTTTAAAGAGCGCTGGTAACTATTATGTAGAGCAAACCTTTGGCTACATTGTATTCATTTTAGATTACATAGGCCACGTTTAAGTCCGTTACAATTATTTATTTGATAAAAACCGCAGCTTCTCGATTACGTTTACTACGTAAAAGTGGCGAAAATTCTAAAAAGCTGCTTTTTCAAATCAAAATAAACTTGGTTATATTGCATAAATAGTGTTCGAAGAGAATCATGTTTCAATTCGTAGAAACTTCAAAAGCTTTCATGTATTTGCTAAGTTGCATGTGTCATGACTTTGCCATCGAAATCTCCGAAGAAATAATTGTTTGAAGCTAAAAACAGCAGATTGGGAGAATCTGAAGTTATAGCCTTGTAGTCCGAGAATTGCTCTATTTAATGCATACTTAACCCTTTTCGAAACTTTAGTATAAAATTTTAAAAAATTAGCCTAACTTTGAGCAGATGTAAATGACGGGTGGAGAATTTTGGCAATTATCAAAAAAAGCATACAGTATTTCATTTCTAAGATGTGTCCTTAAGAAAGAGAAGGAAAAGCTGCATCGAATGCATTTTGAAACTCGTTCAAGTCTTTATTGTGCGTGGGTTTATAGTAATTTGAAAAAACGGACAAAACTTTCGGGACAACCTAATTTTTAAAAGTTTGATCTCAGCAAAAACGTCGGATCCGTAATCCGAGATTTTCAGCAGAAACTTTGTTTAGAATTTCCCCCTGGGAGGCCTATTCTGCGTATACTGCACGTAGAATAGGCCACCGCAGGAACGATCGTGTCATAAACGTGAAGGAAATGCATTTGGTAACAATAGACAACTCCTTAGAACTCAATATAAGCATGGGGTATAATGGCTTCACTCCGGGAGACGGTTTTTTCGCACGGGCGGTCTCAAGCGCCACCCTGATTTTGACTTGTCTTAACACGTCACGCACGCCGCAAACCTTTGTGGAAATCATCACGGTCGTGCGAATCGCCCTACAATTTTTGACTAGAGTTCCATTACTTATTCAAGCGTTCATAACTAGTCTTGAGCACATGTTAATTGTGCAAAATCTGACCCGTTGGCATACAACGGCTGCAGCTCAAACTTCCAGTCTGCACACCGTAGATCTGCAGAAGTGCGTAAGGAAGTCGAATCACGACGGGAGAGGGCAAATCCCCAAGCTACTGATGGTTTGCTTTTCACATGTCTTCTCTATAGCAGCTGAGCATGCAGAACAACAAGTAACTATGCTCAAACTGAGTCCTTAGGGATGCGTATAGAGATGAAAGTAGACAAATTTTATCTGTATATACACTTCCCCAGTCATTTCCAAATGATTGTAGAAACCAAATAAATGTCTTGATTGTTGAACAAGAACTTCCTTTTCAATTTTTTTGGAATCCGCAAACTAGGAATGATTGTATACTGTGGAACTTACCACAAAGTGTTTTGTACTGCTGGAGGCAGACCGCGTAAACAATGACTCCTCATTTCCTCATTTCCGGCAGTTGTCACACCTTTCAGTGTTTAAAATCTGTCTGTGAAATGATTCCAGCACTAAACAAGCTTCCGTAAATGCTGAGTCATTATTTGATTCGCCTGTGCAGTATGATAAGTGATACATTACCAAACAACCATTTATATTTCTCATACATGTCACTTTTTTCTCTAACGACCGTTTGCTTATTTACTGATTACTAGGATAGACTTTAGAATACGTTTTCAAGGAATTATGATGGACGAGAAAATGGCACAACCTTCAATTGTTGTCTACGCAGGATTAGTCAGTGACGTGGTGACTACTTTTGACACTGGATTCATTTTTTTAAAAAAAGATAGTATTCCCCAAATGCCACTTTAGATTAAAGTAGCTTTTGTCGAGGACAAGTGTGTACGATGGGCTCAGCCACGTTGGCTTGGCGACATTCTCTCCATTATCGTACTAATACTCTTATTTATCAACATCTATGCTATAACATTATTGCTTACTAATCGCTCCCCGAGTGTGAAAAATTCTTTCTACACCTGCGTCATAGCATTATTTGTCGGCGAAGCTGTGATGCTGATAGTATCCGTAAGAGGTAGCAGAAATATTATTTTTTATATGAGTGATACAACGAGTTCATTTAGATGTCGTTTGAACTAAAATGATCATAGCAACCTATTTGAGTGTATAACCAAAGGATGTAAGAGATGCAAAATCGTACAAAATCTTAAGAATAGAGAGTAGCGACTTTAAATGCTCAAAAATAAAGTAGTTGACAGTCCTGTTAATTGGAGCATATAAGGCCTTCAAACGATAGAATGTCAAGCGCACCATATACCCTTATGATATCCTTGTCCAAATGGTCTGATGGTAAGGTCGAATTTTGCATCAATAAGTTGAATTTTTTTGGCCCGGCCTAATCTATACAGAACAG